GGCCCGGGATGAGGAGCCGAGGGGGGCACCGGGGCTGCCCGCGCTGCTCGGGCTCCCGGCCGCCCGCGGGCTCCAGACTCGGTGCCGCCACAAGAAACGCCTGCGCCGAGAAACTCTGCTGGCCTCGGAGAGACCGGGGCAGAGTGCTTGAAGTTATTCTGTACTTCACGTACATAATTGGCTTCCAATTAAGGGCAAAGTGATAATTAATTTCGCGTTTCCTGGCGTGGTGGCTGGATTATTTTTTTAATGAAAGCAGACCTAGTGCGGCGTGTGTGTGTTTGGGGTGTTTCTTCATTTCCTTTTTTTTTTTTTTTGCTTACAGTGGTGTTGCAGTGTGGAAGTGTAGTTTGTAATTTAGAGACGTAAATGTGCCTGGTCTTCATATCTACGCTATAGCAGTTTTCTATTGCTCCTTATTTCTACCTAGGTATTTTTGTGTGTGTATGTTATTTTTTTACAATCATTGCTGAAAATGTTTGTTTTGTAATGAGGTAAATGCATAATCACTACTCCCCGGTTAAACGCAGTTTTGTGAATGGGATCTTGTGTGAAATCTTCTTGAACGGTGATTTATTATATGCAAAGTGGAGACCAAATATAAATATTTAGATCCTAGTCATAACTGACATGTTTTGGAATGAGGCTGCTGAAAAAATCTAGACAACACTGATGCAAAACTCCAAATGGGAAGAAAGTTTTATCTGTTTTACTTTTCAGTATCATACTGGCAAAAGTCTATTGATGCCATCCTCACAGGGAAATAACACTCAATACACATGACAATGTAAATTTATGTTCAGCAGTGGTATAAGAACAGAATCTGTATGTATGTTGAACAATGGGAGAAGAAAAAATGTCAGTGTTTATAGTTTTTGTACTTCTTTGTCAAAGAAATGTAATGTCTAAATTGAGAATTATATTGACGTATTTTGAAAAAGTGGTGGATCTGATTTATTCTTAATAGCATTGATATTTGCTGTTGTATAGTGCTTGATATCTGGTAATGTATCACTCAGTTGTCAAAAATAAATTTAAAAATACGTAAGGCTTACCTCATTGGTCAATATAATGTTCAAGCTTTTTTGTGATAATATTCTTCTGTTTGCCTTTCACTGCAGTCTTGAGTCTGTTTTTTGTCCCGCAAATATGTTTTAAATATGTTGTTGAAACACTTTGCCTTTCAAACGGAAAAAGGGGATACCACTGGTATCTGCAGTTTGAAGACTGGATCTTATCTGAAAATCACTGAGTGCAAGAACTGTCATCTTAGTCTTCCAAATGGACAAGGATGTCTTAATTTCTCAGTAAAATGAGAGGGAATTTTCCAGTTTTGTGTATTATCTTCTCAGAAATGGAAAATGTGTATAGAGTGGATTTTAAATTGAAAATTTAAAGGGTAAGAGATCTAATTAAAGGCTTTGCACATAATTTGTCTTTTGTGGGACTAGAAGTTCTCTAATTTACTGTGCTTTGTTTAATCTACCTTAAGTTTTATCAGTAGCAATCAAGTTATGCCATAAATCTGAAACTGCTTTATGCTTTGTTCTCTCAGTTATTTCAGTGTAACAAAGCAGTTTATGCTTTAAATCCTCGGTTAAGTTTATAGTTTCCCTAAACTTAAGAAGGCCCTATGTGCTATAGTAAGATAGTAGCAAAAATTTAGAAATTGATAATTGATCATGTAATTATTCAGCGGCTTATTATGTACACACAATTACACGTATTTAAAGAGGTATCATCCTGAAACCTAATCAGCATTTTAAAAAGGGCTTAATATCAGTTATTGCCTTTGTCCTTGAGGGCTGAGGGTTTGTTTTGCTTTCTCTTACCTTCAGCATTTTCTTTTTACAGCTTACATTCCTTTGTTGTTTTGTCAGGGAAAAATGTACAACTTTACATAAATAGAACTGAAAAAGATGCTTTTTGGTTCATCTTTTCGGTTGATAGTAAGGGTTGTAAACGTGACAAGTGCAAAACACCACAAGTACTGCTGCCAAAATTGTGTCCAAACAAATATTTCTTGGAGGGGCAGAAGAAACGCAGGCAGAAATAAACTTACAAGTGTTTTCTTGCTCTCCTTTCCCATGATTTCTCAGAGCTACATTCACCCTCTGTCTCAGAGGTGTGTGGTTCCCAGGAGTGAAAAGATGGGCCAAACAGCTCCTCCTGGATCTCAACAGGCCAGCACTTGAATGTGCAACTGCTCACAGCTCCTTTTAAAAAAAAAAAGGTCTTCATAACTGTAATGGATTAAAATCCCATGAAAGTGTAAGAAATTTCATCAGTCACCAGTTCTGCAGAAGTTCAAAGTAATATTGATACAGTTTTGATGGAAAATTCTGCTTTGTGTGTTTAGTTTTGGGTTTGATTTTGTTTTGTTTTGTTTTTTAAATCATTCTTATCAGCTATTGAGTTCTTCAAGTTACTTCTTTGCGACTAAGTGGCAGGATTTCCCCTATTCTTTTCTTTCTGGAATGCTTCTTGACGTTCCGTCAACCAGAACTTTTGCCTTTGTTACAGATATGAACAATGACCATAGTTAACAAGCCAAAATCTTCAAAATCTAAAAAATCATCATCAAGGCGGTCTGACAAATCTAAGAAACCCCGTACTAAAAAAATGACATCACGCACCGCAAATCTGGGCCGGGTACCACCTGCAGAAGATCCAAACAAAGTCTCTGTGGACAAAGGACCTGGAGGTGCTATTTATTGTAGATCATCTCAAAAATCTAAGCCTTTTGCCCAAAGAGATCTAGGTAAGTGTGTCTTTCGTCCTCCCCCTTTTTTCTTAAAAACAAAATGGAATAAAAGTAGAAAATGTAGTTCTTATTTGTTGCACTGCTATAAAATGGGACTACGACAAATAAAGACCTCAGTGGTAGACTTCAATTTTGTGAATCTCCTAAGGTAACTGAAGTGACTGATGTTGCAAAACTTAGTTTTATCTATTTACAATCTATTTGTAACTCAGTTTTGATCTATTTACAATCAATTATGGGGAGCTTTTTATAATACACAGACTTACTCAGGTCTTCTGTTACGCAGGGAAAAGTACTGTTTTACCATCACTGTTCATGGCTTTCATTATTCACAAGTCTTTGAATGATAACACTGCTCAGGAAGTGATCTGATATCTATAGGGTTACCTTCTGTGCTAGTTACTTGCTTATTTTTCTGTCTTAGTTCTTATATTTATTACCATATAATTACAAGTGTAAGTTTGTGGTTTAAGTTACAATAAGGAAAAAACAATAATTGAATTAATAATCAGATTAAAGGCTATAGATGGAAAGAAACCTGGCAAAAGTTTCTAAAATCAGAGCGGTAGTTTGTCTTGCATTAGAAGAATTAAAACAGGTGAATAAACTATTGTCCAAAACAGCGTGTTGACGAGCAAATTCAAGTGGCAATGTTAAAGCTGCACGTCATATGTTTTTGTGGTTTGGAGTATACCTGGTTCTTCTGGATGCTCCTGCAGAATGTTGCTTTTTAAATATCCTTTTTAAAACAAAAACAATACATCTCTTTAAAAATATAATTTTCTTGCAGTTGTTAATGACGGAATTGCCCCGCCACAAAGGATTCTTTTTCCACCTGAGAAAATTTGTATGGATTGGCAACAAACGCAAAGTGTTGGAGTTGGACTGCAGAATCTTGGCAATACGTGTTTCCTTAATTCTACTCTGCAATGTTTGACCTACACACCCCCTCTCGCCAATTACATGCTTTCTCTTGAACACACCCAGTCATGTGAGTACTTTCTAACATTATTATAAATCTATTGGACAGCTCTGAAGGTGAAAGAACAACAGTGATTCTGTGAAGAAAACTCTTAGTTGTCCTATTTTATCTGTAGAAGCTGGCTTTGAACATATCTTAAAGGTCTTTTCCAACCTAAATCGTTCTATGAGTCTATGATTATATTAAAAGGAGGCTCAGAATTGCATTTAAAGTGCATTTGTTCATTTAATGCACCATGGTGAAACTTCAAAGAAAGATCATTTCTTGCTTCATGTGAATAACGAAGTGCATTGATAAAGTAAAGCATTTGATGAACATTTGGCATTTGGGTTTCCTGCTGGTAGAAAGGTGATAAAATTTAGGATGTTGGCATTGTAGATTCTTAGCCTTCACAGCCTGGATACTGTAATGCACTAATACTGGGGTAAATTATATGTTCATTGTTGACCCATTAAAAAAAAAAACCCTAACACCCTAGAAAGCACTATGAGCTAATTTCTTATAAACTCAAATAGAAATTTGTGGGGGACTGTATTAAAATTTAGACTGATTTTATTCTAAATAAAATTTCGTATTTTTTAAACCCTTGAATTTGTGTTCTTTGAATTTCATTTTTATACTTGAATTTATTTAAGCCTAGGAGCCTCTTTCCATATCAATATATGTGTAGTTTTACAAAGGCACCTGTATGCTTTCTAGTCTGCTACCTTAGTATTTATTCCTAGAAGTTTAACTGTGTTTTCTTACCATATATAAAAATGAATTTCAGCTAAGAATCCAGTTGAAAAAAGGAGGGCAGAAATACTAATACATATGTTACTTTAATCTTTCCTTTTTCCCAGAGGATTCTTAGCTCTGTGTCATGTAGCTCACCTAACAGCAGTATGCTGAAAATAACACACATTCTCTTTTAGTGCTGTATCATCAATGTCAATATTGTTTCCTCATATATTCTGCAGTCTGTGGAGTTCACATTGCTGTCAGCCTGCAAGAAAATGACATTGCAATAGTTACTTAGATTTCTCATCAGAAAATGCACTTTAATACAGACTTAATCGACATTTTTATTCTACACATTCTGCGTAATCAAGTGTCACAAAACTGTTGAGATATTGACACCTTAGGAGGAGAGAATGTAGCATGGAGCGTGGACACTGTACCTATAACTTAAAGTTTTTGGTTTGGTGTTTTTTTTTTTTTTGTAACAATATATATTTGACTAGACTGGGATGCTTTCTTCTTTCACTCTTCAGGTCATGAAGAAGGCTTCTGTATGATGTGCACAATGGAAACTCACATTAATCAGGTTCTGTGTTGCTCTAATAATGCCATCAAACCTACATCTGTTATCAATGGCCTTAAAAGTAAGTAATTTCAGATGGCTTTATTTTTTTATATTTTTTAACTTTTCAAATAATTATTTGATGCATATAAATGATTTTGATACTTTAAAGAAGAGAGATTTTAGAAATATGAGTTTTCTTTCATTTTATGAGATAAATATAATAACCCTCTTATTTATTAGGAATAGGAAAACATTTCCATTTTGGCAGTCAAGAGGATGCACATGAATTCTTATGCTTCACTGTTGATGCTTTGCAGAAAGCTTGCTTAAATGGAAGCACCAAGTAAGCATAAACAAATTAACTTTTAAATGTTCTCTAGCCCCTCTTACTCCTTTATTTACTATCATAAATTAAAATCTATGTCCTTGGTTTTCATAAAAATAAAAACTGTTAAGAGTTAACTCTGTGCCTTAAATCTTCTGAGGTCCGATTATAATTTATTTCCAGATTGGACAGATCCTCCCAAGCCACCACACTTATTTATCAAATATTTGGAGGATATCTAAGATCCCGAGGTACTTTTTAAAAATCTTACTGTCCTTCGAACTGGTCTGTGTCTTTTTGTCTGTCTGTAGTAAAGGAGTTTGTAGTTTGACTACAGTAATATGTATTAATAATTTAAATTTGCACAGTTAGTCTTCTTCACATATTGTTAAGCATTTGTATTTTGATTCCAGTAAAGTGCTTGAACTGCAAAGCAGTTTCGGATACATATGAGCCATTCCTTGATATTACTTTGGATATAAAGGTAAGATGTTTTGTGAATATGGGTCGAGATGTGTAAAGACTTGTAGAGCTTTCTAATAAACTCATTTTACTTGAAAACATGTACTGTTAAAACAAAAGAGCTTGGTTGTGGATGGGAGTGGATTAGACTTTGTTCTTCTGTGGAAGCCATGTAAATGGTCTCCATGTTTGCACTGGATTTAGGCTGGAAAAATAATAATTGTATCTACACAAACAATGATACTATCATACTTCTTGATTATTCTACTTCAATATACATCTATTGTTAGGCTGATGGGTTTGATTGTTCTCATTTATTGATGCCAAAGCATGCCACAGATGCTATCTGTGGTATTGCAAAATTTATTTATTTCAAAGTAGAATCATTTTCAAATGAGGTAAATGCTCAGCGTACTCTGTTTCTGCCTCCTTCTTCACAGTGTTTGCTAGTTTGCAGCAGGTCACTTAAGTATGAACTAGCAAGGTTCTCTCATAAACTACTAGGAAGTGTTAGAAATTTTGCATTTCCAGTGACTGAGTGCTCTACTTTCTTACTCATCCAGGCAGTTACATCTGTCACCAGAGCTCTAGAACAATTTGTGAAACCGGAGCAACTGGATGGTGAAAATAGCTATAAGTGTAGCAAGTAAGATTATTACTAATTACATCTTAATACAAGATACACGTTTAATGTATTGCATGAGTTAAAGCATGTTATCTTTTGACTTCATTTAGAAATAAGATAATGAGACACAGCTTCTCTGTTGTTCTTTCATTTAGTTTTGTTTATACAACTGATACACTGAAATAATTCAAAGCTTGGAAAATAATACATTTGTTTCTAAGGGAGTAATTTTTGTGCTTCTGTTTGCATATTTGGAAATACGTTATAAGAATCGTGGCCATTAGCTCACATTAGACTTTTATTCCTAGTATTGTCTACACTGGGGCTTGTCAGCCTTCCTAAGTGTGAAGTCGCACACTGAAATATTCATATGGCCAGAAGGTAAAAAGCATGTCCGATAAGTAATGGTAAGCTGAAGCACAGAGCTATGGACAACGATTTGGGGTGGGAGGCAACATGAGCTTCCTGAAGGTCCTAGTGTTCACTGTGAAACGAAGTGAGATTGGGTCTCAGTGAATGTGAACAGACTCGGTGATAATTAACATTAGCAACCTCTGCTGGCTCATTGAACAATGTCTTGCACAGTTCTTGAACTGTAAAACCTGTGGGGTACTGTTGTCCAAAATGAGCCACCCTAAACCTAACCTATGCTTAGTGAAAGCATATGGAGTTAAGATGTCCTATATGCTGATCAATATGTAAAATGTTTCTATGTATGTAAAAGCATTGAACATTTGTGTAAGATACTTTCGCAAAAGAGGATGTTAATCAAACATAAACTCAGAAAAGCAAAGACTGCCAGGCTCGATTCTGTAACATTCCTGTCTGATCCTTCTAACTGAAAAATGCAATACCTGCTTTTTGTTGTTGGAAAACTGGAAGTGAATTAGTACATTTGAATGTAGATGTTGAATAAAGAGCATGCAATAGGCTATTACAACAATTTAATCTCAGGTTCATTTTAGTCTGTGGATCCTAGCAAGCCACATGTAATGTATGAAGAATTCTCATAGTTTACAGATTATGGCTGAGGAAGGGCAAGATAACTGTAATAAGCACCTCACATCTGAATTGCATGGTCCTTCATTAATGTGGGCTGTGATCAGTTTAGTTACACAAAACCCCAGAAGTTTCAGTCTTTTTGTGACTTTAAAAAGAAAGGTTTAGCGTATGTAGAGTATCTTTTCCATTGCTGTAAACTATTCGGTTACTTTTAAGTTTTTCCTAATTGGTGTTTTCCTTTTCTTTTCTACCATGAATTTTTCTAATAACCATTACTGCCTCCAAACTTTGTATCTAATTACAAGTTTCATAGAATTTTATGAAACACTGTTTCCACCCCCGCCCTTCTTATTCTGGGTGGGTCTCTTTTTGTTCATAGGCATTCTCCATCAGTTTGGAATTCTCTGCCTTGTATTTTGACATCAGAATTTGAAAAGAGATTATTTAATTCTTTCTATTTGTTAACTATCAACAGTATTTTTCTTGATGATGTAAACTGACATGTTGCAGTCTTTCTCTGTGCTAGTGGCTGAATTTCAGGGCTTACTCTGTATGTCCTGCCTTTGAGCACGCAATGCAACAAACTTACAATTAAAAATTTTGTTTCAAAGGACTGCAGATGGTTTCAGTGTCTTTCCAGGCAACCTCAGTACATAAAGACTTACTACTGTCCAATGTCTCCCTCCTGCAGAATGACTATTTCCCTCCATTGTATTTTTTTATGTTGATATATGATCCATTTTGGAAATGATTTGCAGTTTCTAGTCCTGAGGACGGAGACTCTCTTGTTCCACTTTTAATATTTGCATTCCAGCAGAAAGCTGAAAGAATGTATCCAGGACATATGTTCAAAATAGCCACTCTGGTATAACAAGAAATGGTACCTTGCCTTACGTTCTGGTGATATGCTCTAGTGAGAGATTCCTGGTCCTGCTTCGCGCCGAGTTGTTGGGAAGCCTTACCTTTTTGGCGTAACAAAGATACATGTTCAGACATTTGTTTGGCTATCAAAAGATAATGTTCTAAATCCTTTATTCTTTGTTCTGTAGAGCTGTCCTCTTATATCCTGCTATCTTCTCTCTATTAACAAACCTGAAATGCAGTGTATGGATTTATGAAAAGAAAAAACATATTATGCAAGTAAATATCATTCAAATAGCATAAGCATGTGTGAGAGATGAAAACTTGTTTGACTTTTTTTGGGGAAAAGAATATGCTGTTAAAATGTTCGTCTATGCTTGTTTTTAAGGTGTAAAAAGATGGTTCCTGCGTCAAAGAGGTATACAATACATCGTTCTTCCAACGTTCTCACAATATCACTGAAAAGATTTGCAAATTTTACAGGTGGAAAGATCAATAAGGTATATTTACAGCTGTAATGCAACTTTATCTTCTTGGAATGGGAGATTTCCCAAAGATGAATACTCATTTAAAAGTTGCAGACAGTAACTATAGATTAATAACTATAGTCTAAGAATAAAGTCGATATAACAACTATGGCTTCTTCTTTCTTTTTTAATAACGATAAAGTTCCCTTGTGACTGTAAGAATATACCTTACTTTTAAAGAGCTAACTCTGTGCAAAACAGTTCTCTGCAACTTAAATTATTAAATGTTTTTTATGAGAATAGATATTTTTAAATGAATCGAAAAATACATAATCCTAGTCTATGTTTTTAGAAGTGTTTTTCTCAGGCTATTCCATGAAGTATTTCAGGATAATTTTTTACTCTTCTTGGTCTGTGTTTAGGATGTAAAATATCCTGAATATTTGGATCTTCGAGCATATATGTCCCAATCAATTGGAGAACCACTCATCTATGCTTTATATGCAGTTCTTGTACATAGCGGTTTCAACTGTAACGCAGGACACTATCTCTGCTTCATAAAGGTAGATATCAGCTTGATTGCTAAAAGGGTAAAATCTGTGCTGACAAAGAAATTAAAATGTTACTAGGGGAAAAGGTTGCATTATATGTTTTGTTTGATTTGTTTTGGTATGTTCTATAGTGTTCTATCTGTGATGTCATTTGGAAAACATGCAATTCATCTAAAGATATCATTGTCTTTATTTGCAGGCTGGTAATGGACTTTGGTATCGAATGAACGATGCCTCAGTAGACCTTTCTGATATCAAAACAGTTCTCAATCAGCAAGCTTATGTACTTTTTTATATCAGGTAATAACAAATACTAAATGTATTCAGAATATATTTAGTTTCCTGTTATTGATATTTTTCTTCTTTTCAAGTGTTTTTCTTTCTGTCCTAGGAAAAGATTAGTATTTGTATAATTCAATTCTGTCTAACCTGAAATTTCCCATGTCATTTATTATCTTTTATTGCTTGGCCTTATACTGCTGCATTCGTGTACATTACTATATATCTGCTCTCTATAGCTGGCTAATTTAGAAAAGAGGAGAAATTAAGGCCATAGATGGTGTAAGGATGAGTTATTGCTCTGAAAAGGATAGTCATTGTAGGAAGACGATTATCTAATTTTCACTTCGTTGTCTTGGTTAAGTCTTCCATATACGTCTTCTGTGTCATATAAACTGTTCCTGTAAAATTATAGGATGGGGTTTAATCCAAGAATAGGCTGAAAGAAAAACTCTAAACTAAAGTCACTGCTCTTTTCCCAAGGCGCTATGATTTGACACTCGGAGAACGTGCTTTTTACTTACCAGCACCGTCTTATCCCCGTTCATTCCTTGGTCAGCGGGGGGCTAATAGTAAGCAGGCTGGATTTATGGGACCACGACTTCCTCCTCATATGATTAAGGTAATTTGAGAGGGGCCGATAATGGCACCAAATTGATAGTGGGTTTTGGTTTTGGTGTGGGTTTTTTTGTTGTTGTTTTTTAGCATCTGAGTTTTATTTTTCCTCCCACGCTGCAGCTTTCTTCACAGCCCTCACGCTACAGCCAGAATTATTCAAACAGTGGCTAATCCTAAATTGTGCAGCCATGCTACTTCATTACTTTATACTTCCAACTCAGCTTTGTAAAGCACTGAGAACTATGCTCTTGAGACAATTTAAGTAGTCTATTAATGCTAATTTTAATTTAAAAAAAAAAAAAAGATAAAGATTTTTTCCCCCCCTATCAGCATCACTTTAGCTGAGACAGTGAAAACAAATTGTCTTGTTCCTGAGTACCAGAACAATTATTCCAGTGTTTTCAGGGAATGTTTAAAGGTGAAAATAAATATATTTGGGAATAGCTTTAGTCAGTGTTGAGTTTTTTGGGTGGGTTTCAAAAATGATGCTCATGTGATACCAATATGCAGTAAACCAAAAGCAGGAATTAAACACACTTGGACTTACATTTATTTTGAAGGGGGGTGTTTTTTCTTCTTAGGTGTTGAGGCAATTTGTAGAAATATTTAGTAGGAGAATTTCATGTTTTAAAACTTTAAATGCTGTGTGTTTGCACATATCAATCTTGTAATCTCTTCTTTTAAATACAGAATTCAAGTCGTTTAAATGGAAATGGACCCCTGAAAGAGGATCCGAATACCGTTGGTGTCACCCTAAAAAGGCCATCTTCAGCTCCACCAACAGCTTGTGTTCAGAACTGGGCAATTACCAGGCCTTCGATTACTGATCCATCAAAAAACCAGAAGATCACTATCAGTATTCATAACAAATTGCCTGCACGTCAGACTGTGTCGCAACCTGACTGTCTTAGCAGTGCTGCGGAGGATGAGGATCTAAGCAAGCCTGTTCCTTCATCCACAATTACAAATTCTTCTGCAGCAGAGTCTACCTCAAATGCATCTACAATGTCAGTTGCTAATGTTTCCAAACAGGAAGTTCCTGATGAAATTTTTGTTGAGCCAGCAGTGAATGGAAGTCTTAAACTCAGCGCTGATAACACAGTCCCTTACGGTGCAGAATCTTCAGGAAAATCGGAGGAGTCGAAGGGCTTGTTTAAAAGGAATTGCAACATAATATCTTCTAATGGAATTTTGATTGGAAAGGTGGTCCGTACATTGCAGAATTCCCATTCTTCCTGTCAGAATGCTGAAGAAGAAAGATCCCAGCATGAGCTGCCAAAAAATGATTCACTAAATGGTGCTATTAGTGTAGATAATGAATCTAAAGAAAACGGACTGAAACTTGATGATTCCACTTGCCAAGTCCAACCTGTTAAACCTTCTGAGATTTTCTTTTCTAAAACAAACGGATTGCTTGAAACAGTGAGTTATGTTTGTTCCATCTAGAATTTCTCACCTATGATGTGTTCGGTATTCAGGAGCATTATAATGTTCCTAATTCACGTGAAATACCGAGAAAACACACAGCACAAATTTCATTATAACACTTTGTGCTATTATTCCATTAGAATGTGCAGAACATGTCAACTTAAGAGAAGTTCAGCTGAAATAATATTTCAGAAGTTTCATAAATATATTTAAGGGGGGTGAGTGGGGTGATGTGTAAAATGGGGATAGTGCATATAACTCAAAGTGGTCTTGTTTAACATCTTATGTAGAAATTTTGCAAAGAGTAGTTTTCTACTAAAGATAGTATTTTTTCTATCTGTTAACTTCTATTTTTTAATTGTAGATGCCTATAGCTTTGTCGCCGGTTCCTCAAGAAATAATCTTAGAATCTCTCACATACAGCCAGTTGAACAGCTTGTCAGAGGAAATAAGGTAAAATGAGTACATTCTGATTAAAACAAGATTTCGTACAAGTTTATAATTGTTTTACCTGTCTAATAATACTATTTTGTAGAAAGATTTAAATCAGTACAGAGAATTCCACTCTGTACATCTAGTGTTGCAAACATCAGCACTGAGCATATGTTATTCTGATATTAAATACAGGCGGACGCCTCTTGGAAAATTTTAGTTTCTTCATAGAATGTTTTTCAAATTTTTTTCCATTGTCTGGAATACTTTTTCTATTCACCTTTCCCTTTTTTTTCATCCTAGGATGTGTGAATGTAAATTCCGACCATCTGCTCTCCCATTTGGGAGAGAGAGGGAAATCCATGTGTTCATTTTTTTCTAGTTTGGGGGAGAGCAAATATAGTGGGTTTGGCTGTTGATGTGATTCAGAGCAGCAAGTGGAGGGAGACAGATGTGTTGGGTGTGGTTTTTTTAATGCAATATTTGCAGAATCAAGAGGAAAAAAAACTCCTTCTCTGGGAGCTGAGGAAGGTCTAAGAATAGGTTTCTAAAGGGAATGTCTTTCAGAGTTTTCCAGTAGCCACCAATTTTTTTACTTAAGGGGATTTTACTCCTAACATTCATCTTTTAAATGGACTTTTTCAAGTGAAGTCGTGTTTTTATTTTGTGCAGTGTCCCTGGACCTCAGAAATCTTCTGAGAATGATGCTCTTATGGAAACTGTAGTGATGGAAGCACTGTTTGCATATGAAGAATCCAGGAAAGTTCCTTCCAACTTTGGCTGTGATGTTGAGAATCTTTTTACTCAATCAGATTCTGAAACTATTTCTACCAAAGAAGAAGTTGCTGAAAGTATTATAGCAAAAGCTGATAACGCGCATCCCAATATCAATGGTCAGCACAAGGTCAGGAAAAAATCCTTGGACACTGAAGATGAATTCCTTGGGCAGTGTGAGTCTGAAGATAGTAGAGACAAAGACAAACCAAGAAGATCAAAAGAACCTGAACTAATTTCAAAAGAAAATCCTTTGTACATCAAAGGGTCTCCTGAGAGCGAAGAGAAATTGGGGCAAACTTCCTCTATAAAGTCTGACATTGAATGTAGTTCTAAAAAACTTGCATCTCTAGATATTACAGATAAATGCCAAGATACAAAGGACATTTCTAATAACTATGTAGAGGTACCACCTGTTAATGACTCTTCTATTACGAAGCTAGATAAAGTTTTGGAGAGTCAATTTTCTAGAGAAAACGAGGGACTGAGTAATAAAAAATGTGAAGAAGATAAACATAGGAAAAAATATAAGAAAAAAATATACGACTCTAAAAAAACTGACAAAGAGCACTACCGAAAGAAGAGAGAAAACTCGGACACTGAAGAGAGGGAGAAGGAGAAGCAAACCAGAAGCAAATCAGATGATTACTCCCACAAGAGGAGGTGCTCTCGCAGTGTGGAAACAAATAAGCAAAATCGTCATAAGCAGGAATATTGCAGTGAAAGCAAGTACAGATCTTCCCATAATGAAAGAAACAGTCCAAATAATGGCAAAAGCTCAGGAAAATACTCTCGTTATAGATCACGAAGCAGAGAAAGAATAGAACAAGACAGGAATAGGTATTATCATTCCAAAGGAGAGAGAACTTGGAGCAGAGAAAGATACTATCAAGATGAACCGCGGAGATGGGAAAAATGCAGATACTACAATGATTATTATTCCTGTCATGGAACAAGAGATGGTAGAGAGAGAAAGTCCTCTCATTGTGATAAAGACTTTGACAAATCGAGTCAAGCTTACAACAACAGGTCACATAAGGATTACCATTGCAAAAGCAGATGGCCTCACAACACGCTCTCTAGAGAGGAAGATGTACATCACTTCAGCAGCCACAGAGCAAACTTACATCATTGTTCAGTACCTCAGCAGCAATCTGAAAAATATTCTCGTGAAAGGCATGCACTTCCACCTGTGTCAGCTCATTCAAATTTTGAGGAGTCTTCCCGGGAAAATGAAAAACTAAGAAATGGCAAAAGAAAATACACCCACGCAGAAGGAAGCGGAAGCGAAATAGAAAAGAAATGCCGAAAGATAGGTGACCAAAGAATGAAAAAATATAAGAAGGTCAAGAAGAAAAAGAAGTCCAAAGATAAACATCGAGAGAAGGATTACAAGTAAGCAAGGATTCCAGCATAATCAGCAATTTTTTCCTAATTCTTTTCTGGGTGTTTCTCATGTCTGCCTTTTTTCATTGTTTCTAAGTTATTTATATAGCATAATCTGGCTGGGGATCATGTCATCAGGTTGGTCATGTGAAGATAGGAAAGATATTGCTGAATTGTGTTAGAACACTAGATCTGGACCACAGTTAGAATCACATCTGCACACTGTTCTTGATTAGGTTACAACAATTTTTTTTCTTTTAATTCCACGTATTCCACAACTAGCCACTGTTAATGATTTGTGTACAAAACGGGACCTACTGTCCTTCAATCTGAGGGCTTAAGTTTGCTGCATCTAAAGTAAGTTAGATGTGCAGACATTACCACAAAATAGCTGACATGCTGCAAGTCATCACCTGTGGTAAAATAAATAACGTTTCATATATGCATCAAGTGCCACATCTGTTTTTCTATTTTTAACTTGCATGTTTCCTTCAGACTTTATGATTTGGATTTCTCTGTGCTCCGCTTTGACAATGACAATCGCAAACGTAAGAAAAAGAAGAAAAAGAAGAAACACATCAGGAAACTGAAAGGCTTCTTGGAATATTTAGATCCTCGTTTCCAGAAGAAAACACGGGAGAAGAAGGAAGAATCCTGTCCTCCAGGTGGCTATTTATGTGAGCAATACAGAAACCAGGGCAGTAAACAACCCTACAAGGAAGGGAAGCCTTCCGGTGCAGGAGAAAGCAAGAAATACAGCTCCATCACATCCAATGAGTATGTTAAAGGTAAGCAGCCACAGGGTGTTTGCAGGACTCCTTTTTATTCACATAGACACTATTATTTAAAACAATCTTTAAATGCTTGTGTGATGAAATCTCTGCTTTATATCATGGCTTCCAAACAATCTGCATTAATATAAAAAAAAGTTGATAGGCTTCCCCCCCCATTTTTAAATGACTGCTAGGAAAGAAAGTCTGTAATAAAACTGCAAAGAGACTGAAGGGCAAGTAATTTTAATTTGATCTGATGGTTAAGTGGCGAACAAGTGGAAGAGATGCAAGATGCCGTATTAAATTCAGTCCAACTAACTAAGAAAAAAAAAACCTTGGGCAGCTATGTCTTGAAAAAGAATCTAGTAGGTAGACAGGAGGTTCAGTAGTCAAGATGGAAGATGATGACATGAGACTTCCAGGCTAGTAATATTGTAGTGAAACACCGTCTTCCCAAAAAAGACTGCCAGAGTAATCGATTTAAATAAAATACTATGTTCAGCTATTTCATAACATAGAAACAGTGCTGACTCCTTATTCAGAGTAACGTAAGTTGGTGATAATCTGAAATATTGTTGTTTCAGATGTAGATCTGCCTTCTCCTAAGCACACTGAATTCACAGTTGTTAACCCTCCAGAGGATGCTTCGCAATTTAACACCTGGAGAGTATGTTAAATTCCTGCTATTGTTTTATTTATTTGTGGTTTTTTTCTGTTAGTATAGGCTTAAAAATACAGAGAAGTGGGCTGATGAAACAGCTCTTTCCTAATTTTTGATGTTAAAAAAAAAAGTCAGTTTGGTGCTTCTTATAAAAAACTAAATACAAACTTGAGTGCCTGGCTGAATTTACACTGAACTCTTTGCTGTTGCTTATCATAGTCCTGACTTGGGCTCTCAGTAGATAATATGGTTTAAATTAATTAGCTCTAGAATTATGCAATGAAGAAGACTCCACACTGCAACGAATTCAACATCTAAAATAAAATTTGACAACATTTCCCATGAAATTCTTCTGAACAGAAGCGTTTATTATAAAAATAAAACCTTCTTAAAAGCCCATTACCTGACATAAAGCCAGTCCCAGTTACTCAGATATTTTAATAAACAAACAACACCTCCCAACCATCTATTTTACTCTGACAGATAACTGAAGTAGTCCCTGAAGAAGACAGCTCACTATCCAAAAGCAAGTTTTATTTTTAAATTTTCAACATTTTATACCTTTTATACCCACAATTTAAGAATTGGGTTAATAGTCAGTGACAATCCTGTTCATTAATAGCCCTGTGTTGAAAATGTCATTCTGGCATAGAAAACAAAAGAATTCATCTTCTTGCATTACAGCTGAATGCATTTCACAATTTGGAGAAGTTTAATCTTGGAAGAGATTTTAATTTTCAAAAATTCCTTCTGGTTTCCACGTTGAGGTAAATTGCCACAGTCAGTAGATTCTTGCACTTGAAAAGTTTACTTAAGGCAAAGAGGAAATGCATTTGTGGAAAAACAACGATTGTACTTCAGGACATAGACAACCAAAAGTTCTATTCTGAAAATATAGTATGGAGGGAAAGCTGATTGTTCACACATTCTTCTTGTAAAATTTAATATGATATTTATTTCTTTAACAAGGAAAATTTAAGAAGGAGGACTGAATTGAGGTCTTTCAAATACTGTTGTTGTAAAAACAGACTTTTTTATGATACTAATGTCAAAATAATCCTTATTGCACTAAAAGTGTCTCTGTTCTAGCTGATAAATCGGGAACTGATCAGAACAAAATGTACCTGCTCTAATACTTGTTTGGCTTTAGTGAATTCTCTGGCCAGCAGATGGCAAACTCGTTTTTTTCTAAGCCAGTCAAAAGTACAGTAAGAAAGTAAATGTCTTGCATCCCATTACACAAGTCAGGGGCATAAAGATTACTGGGCTCTGTAGGCGAAAGAGATGTTCATTGATAAATACGACGACAGTACCCCACTTTGAGATACTGCTTGCAACACAAGGGGGATATGAGGGCTGTGAAAGGCAATTTTTTTAAGTCTCGAGAATTTTAGTATTTCATCAAGCCCATGGATGTTAATTAGCTTAATTTTGTGGAAGGTCAATCTTTTTTTAAAAAAAATGGGTCTCAAGTAGGGTTTTCTGAATGATGGAATCTAATCTCAAAAAAGACCACTTCGGCAGTGTGTATTCAGAGGGTATGGAACCTCTCAAACAAGCTAGGGATAGACTAGGAACAACTGAGAAGGTTGTGCCTTTTCACTAGGACTCGTGTTACTTTGAATGAGGATGAAAATGGCTAGTGATAACTTGTGATTTAAGAAAAATCCAGATAGGATGGGAGAAGGAGCAGCTTTAAAGCAGTTAATTGCCTACATTCCTACATGTTCTCTCCAGCAAGCTTCTGAAGGCTTCTGTTCTTGTGGGTAAGATTTGGTCAGTAAAACAAGGACGCTGTCTAGGCGAAACTTCAACTAAATTTAATTTACCTAAGGTCTACCATTTGCTATTAAAGCAGGTAGCTCTGTCCTAATACTCTGTACAGTTCACCAATCTTAGCAGAGAACTGAAATGCAGTCAGTTTAAATGTGAGGAAGCCACCTTCTCGAGGCAGTGGGATCCTGTAGTCACAGAGCAGATGGAGCTGTGTGCAGGTTTGAGACTTCTCTTTCAGAAATAAAACCTCTGAGACATAGTTTTATGTGGAATGTCACGACAGGGAGTGACATTGCTTCCTTTTGTCTTTCAGATGCAGAGCTTACTGATGGAAGCCTTCAATACTCAAACTAAACCTACCATCAAAACCAACAACTTTTTACCATCAAAACCAACGACTTTTTCCCATCAAACCCGACATTACCAATATTGACCATCAAACCAACATTACCAATATTGACCATCAAAACTTAAAATTTATTATCAAAACAATTACCATCAAGACAAAATCCAGTCATAAGTGGTGCTTAACATTTCTGTACAGAATTTTACCATGAAAGAACTTTTTTTTAGTTTTTAACTTGAGACTTTCTTTTTTAAAATATACTTCTAATCCAAAAGGGTGGAAACTTTTTACAACTGCTGAACATTGTAAATTACCACATAAGTATCTCACTGATGTGAGATAATGCCCTGGAATAGACCATCTCAAATGCTGCTTAATTACAGACTCAGGTTGACTTTATGTTATTCATGTAATGTTACTCCAAGTTAGACATCTGGTGCAAGAGCGACCAGGAATTATAAAAACTGCAACTGACGGTCTGTATATTTAATTTAAAGACTTATTTAAAATTTCACAAGCTCTCAAATAACTAGAGTTTTGCAAGAGCTGCATCTTTTTTCTGTGATGTCTGACACTAGAAACTAATTTACTTCACATTTGAGTTATATTCAAGATCTGAAGAAAATCTTCTGGTTTTCAACATTGTGAAACAACGAATATGCAGTTCTGAATGTATCTCTCAAGACTATTTGTATACCCTTCCATATGTTTTTATTACATTTTCTTAATATACTGTCACTTGTCTTAAGTCTCAGTTGTCTGTTTTGTCTCTCTAAAGTGTCTAGTTACAGACAAATTCATACTGTGATTTTTATTTTTATTATTAAATGCTATCAAACTGTGATGCACTTATTATTCACTGGTCCTGCATCAGGAGATGAGTGGGGAACCTGTATTAAATACAGTTCATCTGAATAATCTGTCTGGTTTATACAAGCTGTGTTGTTCAGAGATGTCTAAAGTTTGATCTTTGTTTTTTTAAAGATAAAAAGCACTTGCCCCACTGTAAATATATAGCATGTAAAATTTATATAGTATATAAATACAGCAAAGTTAAAATGGATTTTTACTTGAGTTTTACTTGAGTTATTTAACATGCAATATGTCATGTGAATTGACAGCTTTCAGAGTGTGTTTGATACTCAAGAAATCAGATCTTCCTTTCAGTGGTAGGGGAGAAGATGCTGTCGGTGTGACCCAGAGAAGTAACTTGGGACTTCAGCTGCCTAGACAAGAATGCAGAAGGCTTTCTCCTTTGAAGTTAAAAGCTTCCAAAACCAGGCAACAGGTTGGAAGCTCAGCAGTAGCTTTTTACTGTGTGTGACACTATAAAAAAAATAATAAAAAAAAAAAAAAAAAAAGGAGCAAGGTTAATGTTTTACTACATACTTAAAGTAATATTTTGGTACATGGAGAACACCATAAAGCCAAACCATAAGTGTACCCTGCATAATGTTCCTATGGCAACAGTGATGTGAAGTTACATAAAGTAACATGACAAAGAAACCACATACCTTTCCTGTATCTGGCTTTTTTTTTCCTCTTTTGTCCTTTGGCTCCAAGATTTGGTGTCTTGTCTTTTGTCTGATGAATAACTCCGGCATAAATGTATAAAAGGAGTTTAAATGTTGACTGCTGTACCTCCATTAAGAGCTCCAGGAGCAACAACTGCCTGACCTAGCTAATACGCAGTAAGTGGAGGGAGGGCAGTTAGTGCTATGGAGAAGCAGATGGGGCAACTGCAGCAGCATTAGCTATTTCTAATTGGGGGAGGTCTAATTAATCTACTTGAGGAGCAGAGATCCGATTCCTGCCTCCCCCGCCCCAAAACTCATGGAAGGGAACTGACAAAATACCTCCTTAATTTAGGGTGGCTCCAGGGAAACCAGCTCTTAATGGAGCAGCACTCATAGTTGTAGCTTACTTTACTGAAACAATCTGTTTTGCAGTTGAAGGTTTTTCTCTCTGAAAATTTAAACCTGATAATGTAAATTAGTGTGCCTAAAGGTAGGGAAAAGAGGCCTTTTACTTACAAGAGCAGTTATAACGCATGCTGTAAAATTGAACCTTAATCTCTTAAAAAAAAAAAAAAAATCAGCAATTGCCTCCCGTGTATTCTTGGTAAACAAGGAGCTATACAACAGTATCGTTTCACACTTTATTTTTGAGAAAATCTCCAGATTTAAGCAACAGGTCTTAATGATAAATGAAAACATTAATATTGCAGTGGATTTACACAGAACATCACATTTTTAACAATGATTGATACAGAGTATTTGTCATGCAGATCACTTGTGTACACCAAGTAATACTTATATCAATACATATCTGTACAGTATTTACATTTTATATTTAAACTCTAGCTAGAAACATTTTCCAAGAAAATATAGAAATGAAACTGGTAAGCCACAAGTCTTAATTTGTAGCATTTGGTCTACAACAGACCTAGCTTTTCCAGCAAGCATATCTACATAGATATGTAATAAATCTTAAAAATATGCATTGTTTTTATATATGAAGCATTATAAATGCTGCTCAGTTTACAAAGGTTCAGTTTTGTACCAGTTTAAAATGGTTCAAAATGTTAAGTGACATAGAGCTTATTTTGTCAGAGTATTGTCAAATTTAAGTCAGTCCAGCTGAGCTTAAGTATTACGTACAGTTCTCGCCCCAGGTTGCACTGGCAACGTGGCTGATGTTAGTGGCCAAATGGTTTAGACGCTGAAGCCATGCACATGGCAGAGGCAGTAGTGGCTCCTGCTGGCCCCTGTAGTTGTAAAGGGCAATGATAAAAACAAAGAGCTGAAGAATTATGCAAGTTTCAGTGCAACAGGAAGGGAGAAGCCTGTTGTCCCCAGAGGACTTATCCTCAGCATGGCCAAACCGTAACAGATATTGCTTTAGGCCACCGAGCAGCCAGCCTTAGTAGCTACCCCTGGACTTGAAGCCCAATAAAAAAGGGAAAGGTTGAGAGATTTTTCTTCACCCTCATGGACAGTACCTGATTTGGCCAAAATTTTCACAAGCCACTTTGTTTTACTGGCCTGGTGGCCAGTGGAAATTTTGGGCCAGTTTCACTCCCTGTTAATACTGTTACAAAGAACATTTGAAATCAAATATTACCACACACAAGAATGCTATTCCATTAGCTTTGGTAAATTAAATAGATAGATTGAGCACCACAAATAGCTGTTTAAGATGTTGCATTTTAATGCTAAGAAATAATATATTTCCTGCTATAATATCCTCAGTTACATGTTACTCTAATAATTATTTCTGCTGGATATAAGAACTTCAAACTAAATACAGCAAATGAACTCTCAAGGCATTTCCTTCATGCTTATAGGCAGACATCCTCACCTGCTTAAATAAATAGATTTTCTTGAAGGTGGTATTTCAGAAGATAAGAATTGATACAAAAGTGCTTCATGGCTTATTAATGCTTCTGTAATCTCACAATTCTCCAGAAATACTTTATTTGCTGCTCTTCACCTTTACACTCATTAGTACCACGTGATTCTGGCTTATCAATATTTGCATTACAAATGTACTTGTCCAAAGCTAAAACTGATGTATGCATTTCTTGAAAACAAAACCTAAAGTTGCGGAACTGAAGACTCAAAACAAGCGATGTTAGCAGCTCCATAATCATGCTGCTTTGCAAACATAGGACATACAACTTAATTCGTTTCTATAAAGAGTTTAAATGTGTTCCATTAAGCAAAGATGTCCCCACCCTGATACTTATTCAAGGATTCTACCTCCTTTGGTTGAGTTTTACTCCCTTGAAAGCACTCGGATTTGAACATTCATCCAAGTAGACTGCAATTCCACACACTCTGGGGAAAATCTAAGGTGTAGTAAAGTTTACTTTGTTCTTTTCCTCTCAGCCTTTTTGGCAAACATGCAATAAAGCAAAACATTCACAGGCTGACACCCCATGCAAAACAAGGCAAATTAGTAAGACAGGAACAATGAAACAGACTCTCCCTTACAGTTAAAAGGAGATTTGAAACGGATCAACTTAATAAGTCTGTGTTTTTGCCAGGGCAGCACAGTTCCCTGTAACGAATCCAGAGATGCTTCTGTAACTCCAACAAGCAAAATTGCTTTGACAAAGTATTGGGTCTCCAAAGCGTTCATTGGCACAGTAGGCACGGCTCAGGTTCAACAAGTTCGTGAAAAACTGAGTGCTAACAGAAGCAGTAGGGTCCAAAAAACCACTTTCTCCCCCACTGTGGAGTTAGGGTCTTTACCTTAAGAATGGTATGTGCGCTATCAATAGAAAAGCGTTGTATTAAAATCTGCCATAGCAGTTTACGTGTTCCTGAAAGACTATCAGGAGGACCACGGAAAGATTTTCCACAAATTACAAAACAAAACAAAACAAAAAACAAACAAACATGCTTGTGGGGGAGTTCAGTTGCACAAGGTAATCGATGTGTAAGATTTTATTTTTTAAGTAAAAATAAGGATGTCTATTCTTTTTTTCAATTTCAACTGCTGAAGCACGGATCTGAAAAATCGCCTTTAAGAATGCAATAAAAATACTGAACTTTTCTGTATGTCGAAAGTTTGTTATCAAGCAAAGGAACGAATCCTGCTTGCTTAACTATCTAGGGCTGTATCTTACAGAAAGATTTCACCTTCCTGGTTTTTCCCTTTAAAAACATTAAATGCACGTGAAATTATTTGGGGGTATTTTCACATGCAAAGCCTAAACTCATGCAAGCCCTGTCATCTTACTCCTTTAGTAGTAACTTAGTGTTAATTAAACTACAACATATCTAAAACATAAGAAGGATGTTACTATATAAAAAGCAGATGAAACCAGTCATTAAATCTTACTGCTTATTGTGAGTGTACGAGCAGACAGGAATGAGTTTTAGCCTACTGGCAAATATCAAACCACATCTGTACTTAGTGTCATGTCTACAGACTCAAACCTTTGCTGTTGGGACCTGCATACATTTCAGTGCATATCAACCAAACCCTTTGGCACAACTAGTTAACTACGTAGCTGCCAGTCTACCGCTGAGTTGTGTTTCTGAAGAAGAAAAGCTATTTCCATAAAGGTAGGAGAGCGAATCCTAAATGAAAGCTTCACTCAGCTGTTGATTTACTGTGAAACACACAAGACTTGAAAACTGATATTGAGATTGTGGGTTTTCTGCTTACAGAAAAAAATTAAGTGCTAGATCACGCTGTACTCCACTTTTGGTGGAGTGAGATTTTAGTGAGAGATGAAAGTCTCATAATCGCTCCTCCTTTTATGGGAAATGCTCTCAAATGCACATATAGGACATTTTACTATTAGCCTCGAATTCCTTCCCTGCCAACCCAAGTAAACTGGAGTTGTAACTAATATAAGTGAAAACAAGGCTTCCATGTTTTCAGTTGAATTCCGATATTGGAATCATCCCCTGGGATTTGAAGCTTACTTCAAATTATATGCCAGTAACTATTTACCCTGAAAGGTCTTTCCAAGTTTTTATGTCATAGTAAAGTGTATATATATAAAATTTACAGTTATTGTCTTCATTTATTTTGTCCAATTTTTACATTATCACTCAACTGTATGCTCATTCATAGGTTGATGCAGGTATACAAGTTTCTGATCAGGTTCTACTTCTTATTTGCAATTCTTCGTTTCCTTGTTGCCAGCATATCATAGAAGGGATCCCTGCTGATACTTGCTCTAGAAGAGAAAGAAGGAATCATCAGTTTCATTAACAAATATCTGTTTTTGAAAACTAAAACCATTTTGTTCTGTCCTCCCTGTGGATGACTACACACTCCTAATAAGATAATGGATGGTTCACTTCTAAGCATCACAAATATTTCTTTAGAAAAAGATGTTATTCAGCTGTGATTTGTTAAGAGTTCATACCTTCATCTTGACTATTATGTACTTCTTTAAGTGTAGGTCTACTTTATAAACCTTACAAGATAAAGTCAAGCTGTGAAAGTTTAAAGCTGCACTGTGAACAAGCTTAAGATAGATGTCACTGAAGTTAATTACTAGGTGAAGTAAGAATCTAATAAACTTAGGGTTAAAGACGATTCACATAGGGCTTTACATTTGCTTAAAAAAAAAAAAAAAAAAAAAAATCCACATTTTCCTCATTTGAGTTAGTAGCACTATTTCCTTAGGACCAGACAGTAACAGGAGACTTGTATCTTGATCCGTCAACCTCACGTAGCTTGTCATCAATCCTAGAGGATGTTGCCACATCAGAATTCTTTAAATAAGTTAGACTACAAATTCTCCTAGCATCTTACTCTGAAAAGACCTTACACTTCATTTCTGAAAGACATTTAAGACTTTAAACTCACTTGATGGATTTAATCCACTCTTCTTTTTCTTCTGGGGTAGGAGCAGATATTCTATACACTACATGGTTGCCTTCGACCACTCTACCATCAGCTTCAGTTTTACACGCTTTAATTACTTGACCTTTATGACTGGGGTTATAGAGCTCAAAGCAGTTCTGGAGGGTAGAAATGAAGAAATACATTTTAAAAACAAAACAAAACTGACAAAAGTCTTCAATTAACACTACATCTAAGTTCTAGATGGTTTACTTATCTTCATTTAAAAAAAAATTATGAAAATATCTTACTGGTTTTCTAGGGTCTTCAACTTCTCTTATGCTAAGGTTTTCTAATGGAATAATTCCTCTAGGTTCTTTGTCCTAAAAAATTAGGAAAATATCACATTATTAGCCACTTAAATATCTCGATCACAAATGAAGTTCACTGTAATATATACTCACTGTTGTGTACTCAAAGTAATACAGGCAATTATCAGTCAGAATAAACCATCTCCGTTTCCACGTTTTTACTCTTCCCCCTATAATAAAAAGGTACGGCTGAATTAAACGTGTGTTGCTGTCAAGGCTTCAACAATGGATAAGACAGTCATTTAGTTTTGCTAAAAACTAAAATTTTTTTTCAAAATATGGCTTAATTGCTTAATTGTAAATGGATCAGGCACAGATGAGCTGAGGTTAAAGGAACATGTTACTGTAATGTGTAGATGATCTTGTACTAAGATCAAACTCCTGAGACAGCATTAACTATGGTGTTGCTGACCAGCCACAAAAACTGTATGCTGTAAAGTTGTAAATGTCTCCTCTCTTACAGAGAATGAATGCAACAGTTTAGCAGTCAGTCCCTGCCATCACAGTTGTTTACTGCAGCAAAAATATTAATACTATACAGCTCTCAGAAGTGCAGTCAGTGCTGCTACAGCAAAGGGAGGCCGATCACCAGCAAAACCAGTAACTGGGTTCCAGCAACAGCACCAACCCTCTTCACAGCCTGTCTTGTACAAGGAAAGGTCCCATCAATAAAATTAAGGGCATTTTATCACGTTCCTTTCACTCCACTCGTGAGCATACATGTGATTAAGAACCTATCTTTACTTTCACATTTAACATCAAGTGCATAAGATGCTTATAAATATTATTAGCAGAACAAATATGATGTGTCATCAATAGGGAGCAAATCCTATGCCATTTGTAGTCACTTTTCATCATTTAGTATTTTAAAAACATGCTCTCTCTATAGATTAATATATCATTGAGTACACCTGTCAGAAGAAATAGCTACTGCTTCAAAAATGCCAGTTTTTCCTGCATTAACAGTTTAGACAATAGCAACCACAGAGCTCCTCTTTCTTACACCTGCTAATGTCACACTGTGGGAACAGTTCCTTTTAGAAACACACATTCTTGTCTTGGCCCGTTCAGCTGGTTTTCTGCCATTGGCTACTTCAGAACTCGTCTAGCATTCCACAATTATGTTATTTTTGAAACTCATTTCCAGGAAGGACAATTGTAGATAAAGCATTCACGTGTTACTAATATAGAGGCTTAGTTCCACCATAGTTATCTGACTTCAGGATTATGTCACCATCTGTGCATCATCCATTCATCAGTGATTTAATCCCATTAACCCGACATCTCAAAACAGTTTTGAGATGTTCTTGCTATTGAACACCCGTGCATAAATGAGTACCATTAATACACACAAGACCCCCAATTTAATCCAAGTCATATAACTAAATCTAAGACAAGAGCATAATTTTTTAACCTTTTTGTTCTACTTGAAACAGCTGGGTTTTTGTTTAATACGGAAATCCAAATCATATTAAGTTACAGAACAATTCTAGGAATATAATGAAATTTCTTGACACCAGCCTACTGTGTGTTTGCACTGCAGACCGAGTATGTTGCATGTCGTGTCTTCCTTTTGCTTGGTTTCATGACCTACACGGTAACCCAGTACTAACACACTGCAATGTTCAACATACTCAATAAACTTTATGTTTCCATTACACGCACACACATCTTACGAAAAATTTGATCTGCAAGCAGGTGCGGTGAAATAAGAGAAGGCAAAATAGTGCAAGATGCAGAAGCCGTGACAGAATGAATGGTTGAGTGAGCTGGAGACAGTGAGGGAAGAACTGGTGGCATTTTAGTACAACCACTGTGACAGATCCTTAAATAAGCATTGTAGAATCATTCAAACTGGTATGTAAGTCACTAGAAAAATTCCCATCACCTTGACTGAGGGCTGGTTCAAGTATCAGGAAGTATTTGGGCTAGGAATGGAAAGTCGACGAACTTTAGCTTGACTCACTTCCAGATCAATGAATAAGCAGCAGCCGAGTCAAGACAACTGCCAGGACAGTCCTTGCTATCGCCATAACATGACACTTTTTCATATAACCCAGTGTTCATTGCCGTGATTTTAAGTCACGTTTTGCTCTCTAAGGTTAACAGGTTAACACCATCTAACATTTTTACGGCACAAAAACGTCACCACATTTTTCAGGCTAACAGGTAACATCAGCTAGCATCAAATGTCATGGCTTGCCCAGTTCTAGTAGAAAAACAAGTCAGCAGGAGAGAGGATAAAACAAACAGGCAAGTAGGTTACCATCACAGAGGCAGCTTAAATTGAACAAAGGTGTTTCTCATAAACTGTGATATCATGTCAAAACACAATAAAAAAATAATCAGGTAATAACCATATATTTAAAAGAAGGCCTGCTTATAATTTAGGGCAGAAACAATGGACTTAAAACACACACCACCTAGAACAATATGAAGTGTCAAATAGTAAATGACAGTTGCTGCTCTCTTCTCCCTAAAACAGCCAGTAGCTCACCGGGTTACAGCACTCACATGAGTCGCAGAAATAGACCTTAAGTCCCTGCTCCACCAAGCTATGAGTTACTCTTCTCTTCCAGAAAAAAAGCAGCAAGGCAGGATTTTTTGGCAGGATAAGGAACTATTCTCACATATAAGTCCCTGTCTCCCCACCCCATTACGTAGCTGCAGCTGTCAACAGCACAGACTCTAATAAAGCCTGAAAGGCAATCTAGGCTGTACTCATCAAGTTTGCAGGGGTCACCACATAACATGCATTTAATGTGCCTTTACAATGGGCTAAAACCCAAGAAGCTGGTTGATAAGGCTTTGCGGATTAATGGGTAAGAACATGTGATAACAAAACAATCTTTGCCGAGATTGCTGTAGGCTCACAAAACAACAAAGGGTTTTAGCACCATACTTAGTACCTTCTTCCAGCTCCCAGCCGTTTAAAGATTAAACTGGAAGGAATTAAGTTAGCAGAAAAGGATCAAGAAAATCAGAGTATGAATCCATAAACATTTCCAGAAATGGAGAGATATAAGTGATATACTTCTCAAAGATCTATATGGTTAACTAAAATGCAAAGACATCTCAAACAACAAAATAAAGAAGCATGATATCTTCTAGGTGGAACTCTAAGGAAACTACAAGAAAAGGCCACAACAAGGCAAAATGTACAGAAAGAGGACTAGAAACACTCTTCACCTATGTAACCCAACATAGGATTTTTCTTTTTTTTTCAACTGTGGGCAAAGTACAAACTAGAGAACAAGGTAAAAGAAACCACCTATACTAAAGGGAAAAACAACTTGCAATGACTTAGGAAACATCAATTTCAAAATTTAAAAAGGCCTTAAGACTAAAGGTAGCAATGTATCTAAAGTTAGAAAATTCTACCCAAATCTTCAGCACTTTTATATAAAGTTTTAGAGGGGGAAGAGAGAGACGCACACATCAAGAATGTTTTTTTCTTCTCAGTTCGATATCACTAGGTGGAACGGACTCAGAAACTGTACAGTTATACAGATGATTGGATCAAAGTTTGGGTTTCTTTGAAAGAGAAGTTTCCCTCGACCGCAACATTAACTGCCTCAGCCTAGAAGAGCATCAGTCACCAGGAGAGCCAGGCAGGTACCGGAAGGCACCAGTTTCCTGATCAGCTCTTCTCTCGCTCTGGATTAGGGAAGAGAAACGACATCCTCTCACGGGCAGATGCGCTGGAATAAGCACCACTGGCAGGACCAGCCCGGATGTGAAGCTTTTGGACAATCTCCAAGCTCTCAGTAACTGCCTGACTGGCAGAAAAAATTAACACGATCATGTGTCTGGCTTGAATCATTTCCTCTCCAGTTTGGTGGAATAATGTCACAGTTTCCCTCTAAGTAGAAGAAAATATTATGCCAACCAAGATATTTGCCAAGAGAAGCTGTTTACGCAAGGAAACGCCTCCCTGTGCAAATCTATTTTAACTTGGGCATTAGGACAGAGAGCATAGACAACGATTTCAAAATACCTTAAAGTGGATGGCAGAAAATTTCATGGTACCAACACTACTAAAAATTACGATGCAGAAAAATCTAAAAGCTCGTAATGTCTCAAGCTGCTCTAAGTAGGATTCATTAGCATTCAGCAGCTTTCAGATTTTTTACTTGTAGCATTCATTTTCATTACATCATGCTTCAAACAATGTAGAACTGTATGATAATTTAGGTTTACCGAGATAAAGATGTCTATATAAAGGCACCAGCTGAGTCTAGATAGATAAAACCAGAATTGCTGTCTGGCTGCCAGGTTTGGCACTCGGACTTACACAGTCACCTCTGAACAATTCAGAGCAGCAAACTCTCCAAAAGCATATTGCACCCTCCCAGCTTTCTAAAATCCAATGCCAGGCTAAAGAGGTGGTCTTTAGGACAGATTAATTTTAAATATACGAAAGTTTCATGATATCCATCTCCTGCCCAGAGGATAATCAATACGGTGAGCTGGAATACTAAAAAGAGGGGCACAAGAAGAGTTGACTATAGGAAATACCAAATACAAAAATACAGTCTTGATATACTCAGGCTTTAGGAGTTGCTTTAGTCTTATTTACAGTTTTATATAAAACTTTCTATTTCAACTTTTAAGTATTATCACAACTGAGCACTTAAACTGTCATGCAGGAGTAGAGTCTCCTTAGCATTTCAACAACACAAACTTTTAATATCAACACCTTCCAGAACTGAAGGAAAACCTACCCATCTCACAAGAAGTGTTTCCCAACAGAAAGGACTGTAAAAATGCAAACAACATGGATCAAGACAGCACTCTCAAACATACAGTTTAAGCCTCCTAGCAAATAGGAAACTCAAGGTAGAGGAAAGAATGAAAGAAAGAAAGGAAGAAAGAAAGAAAGAAAAGAAAAAAAAGATTGCCAGATTTATTTCTGGTCACTGCATTTAAACTAGCAAAATGTATTTGTCTGTACCAGTCCATGTCTGCTGAAAAAAAAAGCAGTCTTTCATGGAAGCGCAGCTTCACACGTTTACAGGCTGATTCACCAGAGGCTTCTGGACATGTTTCATTTCTTTATTCAAATAAGCCTCACGCCGTGGGAGTGTTACATGCAACACCCTTCCGTTTCACACACGCTTTTACTATTGGATTTTCTGTGCACTGTCTCTCATCTACATCGTACATAATGAAAACTTCGTTTTATTGACCTTGCGCCAGAGCCAGAGGTGGATTGTGCAGAAGTACCTGGCAGCTCTCACTGACTTTCAGTCACCTTTTTTCTTCAATTTCTTTGTTCCTCTATTTTTTATTAGATCTCTTATATGTCTTTTATTGACAGTTTCTTCCACAAGTGATGCTGTCATTCCTCTATACACACTCACACTCTTGCTTGCACTCTCAGTATACGTATAAGTACATGAGAGAGCACTGGCAACAGAAAGAGGAATATGCACAGCATGGGCTTATAGGCAACAGCTTCTCCAGAAAGCACATTTTAGCTACATCATCTTGAAAGCCTTTCTGTTGAGATAGCTATCGCCTCACGCTACAAAATGGAGAAAAGCTGCAAAGTCATCTTTGAAATTGTGCCAGCTGAGCCAACGCATGTCAAAAAGCAAGAGCTTTGCTTTTTTGCTTTTAGAAAGACAAAGAGCTCTATAGCATCTGTAGCACAGAGGCCAAAATAAGACATTGGGGAGCACGCGAATTAATTACAAATGCTTCCTTTTCACATCTATTTTCTTCCAGCACTAGCATGACCACTAATTTCCAGGTGCAATCAGTAGAGCGGGCCTGAGGTTCTAACCAGGCTCTACTTTCACCATACTCACACCCTTGTGCACCCCCCAGCACACAACCCTTTTCCCACTTTAGTCACCATTCTCCAAGTGCAAAGTTCCTTCTATTTTAACAAGCAGTTACACATTAAAGTGGTCGACAACTGGCTCTGTTGGAGTGTGTACTGGTGTTTTATATAAGAAGAGGTTTATTTCATTGAAAAACAAATGTTAAAATAAAATTTCAGTCTCCTTTATATAGGAAAAAAATTCCTAAGCCCAAGTGAAAAAGTGAATCCACTTTAAAAAGTCTTTAAACAAGGGCATCTTACAGTGCCAGGAGACTGCAGATTACCAGAGGTTTCTGCAACCCTAAACTTGGTGCCCATTTGAGATTCTGTTAAGTAAGCTAAATATATTATTTACAACAGAAAACAAGCAGGAGAAAGAAAAGCTTTTATAAATGCATAGTTCAAATGTAATCAATCTTTCAATAATCTAATATAATTGATGTACAAGTAACAAAATCACTCTGGAACTTCAATACAAGAGTAAGACATGTTGTTTTCTCTCAGTAGAAATTATTCTTCCCTTGTTATGTTCTTCAATGAACGAGAGAAGTATACTGAATAGTCATCTTTATTTTTCTGCTTTACATGTAAACACTTTCTTCTTTTGCAGAAGACACTCACATGTGAGGTAGACAGCGACATGCCAGTCTTTCAGAGTACCACTGATGATACTGTTAGTGACACTGAGTGAAAAAGCAAAATGCTACAATAAACTTGATTAAAAAAAAAAAAAAGAAAAGAAAAAAAGCAGGAGGAAGGAGGAAGAAAACAAAAGAATGAGCAACTGAAGAAGAGGGGACTGGAAAGCAATCAGATACGTACCTCCTAATGCAGAATAAGCAGAGACAGCCAGTCACAGAACAGAAAGGTGATAGGTCATAGGCCATAAGGAAAACAAGAAGGCACATTTAAACCACTCATTAAAAAATCATAGCCAAAACCAAACCAAGAGAAACTCACAAATAATATGGAAAAATAAAGACATACAAAAATAACTATTTGAAGAGAAATCCTTTTTTTTTGTACACAGAAAACTAGTTGAAATATCACACAGTTTTCTGAAATGACCTTATGGAGACTTAGTTGTTATTTATCAGTCACAGCATGTAAATACCATATGGCATTTCCTATTTGTCGCCGAGTTTTTATTTCTCATACATCAGAAATAAAACTCCGAAGTTTTAAACAAGATTGCTAATCTGGATACGTAAAATAAGAAGTAACAACCTTCAGATGTAAAGGAGTTACTTATTTTGGTTCATACATTTTTAAATACAAATTACAAAGTTAATCCTATTAGCTTCACAAGAAAGCAGATAGACAGGGAAGCAGCAAACATGCTAACAACGAACAAACATATAGCAGCAAAACTGCCCTTATAACTAACCTAATTTCAGCAGCCAACCTTCTCTATCTGGATTAAAAAATGTATGCGTTAGATCATTTCCATCATCCTCTGGAATTTTAAACGGCTCATTCTTAATACTTTCATATAAATTCTAGAAGAATAAAAAAAGAGGAAAAAGACCTCATTAATAAATGTCTAACAGAAAATGCAACCAGGACATCCTACGGCTTTCTCAGACTATTTGTATAAAAAGCATAGGAAATACAGTCCATAAAATTCTGGACCATCCCTTCTCAATCATTGTTTACTACTTCGATTAAGTTTGATTTTAAACTACTTCATCTACAAACAAGTGTCTCTTTTTTACACATTTTATAAGCACTCCTAGCAAAGACATTTTTTTCTTTAATTTCAGCATTCAGTATTCCAAAGGTTTCAGCTTCAGGTCTCATTTAGTACAAATTTTGCCAAATGAATCTGGGTTTTCAGAAAATGGTTTAGACCGTCACACTGTCTTAGAGAAATAAGTATTTTTAATCTCAAGGGACAAGAGGAAGCTCCACAAGACACACGGAAAGAAATGAGAGGCAATAACAAAACAATGATTTTTTCTGGCTTTCTCTGACTTATCCAGAAATACTACTTTTTTTCATACGAAGCCAATTCTACAAGAATTTTGCCATCAGCAAACTACTGAGAGATATACAGAGTGTCTTCTCTGGAATCTCCTCTCCTTAACAAAAGATTGACTATAGGGAGAACTAGCTTAAAGCAGCTGTGAATATCAGAAAATGCTCCTTTCAGCTACTCAAATGGTTATGCATGCTAGAAAATATTCTTCTTACTTTCCCTCGACAAATCTGCCTGACAACTGTTGCACACGCTTCTAAGTTTCCTATTAAAACCACAAAGCATTGCCTTGTCTTACCCAGTCTAACTTACCCGTAGCAATTCCTCTGGAAGGTCTCCACCTTCATTAATTCCACGATTCATAGAAATAAACCTCTCTACTGTTGGTTTATCTCTTACATTGTGGTTGTGCAGACTGGTATTTAACATAATGATTGCAAATGACAGCACATAGCATGTATCTGAAATAAGATTAGAAAAATTATTTATCTCTGTGTGTTGTGGCAGAAACCTATATAATGAATATATAATTCATCCTGACTGGTAAAGAAGAAGAAGCAGGTAGTCAAAAAATCCTTGAACACTATATATGAAAGCAAAGTCTCATCTTTCTTTAAACTGTTGAAGTAAGCCTAAGAAGAAAAAAATATGTAACAATTCAAATTAAAAGCCAGTATGAGAAAAACAGTACTAGAGAATCCAAAAATGTTTTTAAACTCTCTGAAATCATTGCTATCACCCTAAATTAACATTTCACTTGAAACACTGAAGCGTTCTTGGGCAAAAAGTTCTCTGCACACAGATTTTGCCTAGATCATATTGGTAGATCCTAGAATAGACTTGGTCAATCAGACTGATACTCAAATTACTTCCAAAGCTTTCTCCAAAGAGAAAGAACAGTCTCTTCAAAATACTATTTGAACTGCATTTAAACGGACTGAAAATGACATTGACTCAATTTCTTGGCATACACAAGGTGGCTAGTACCACTGAATAATATCAAAAGATGACAAAGGAGATCTTACCATGCCTCTTGACATGGTTATGATTATAGTAAATTCTCCCAGAATTCAAGTACAAGATCCTGTATAAGAAAAAGCAGGATGGAAACCTCTCTGCTACATAGACCAAAAATCTGTTTGCATCTTCAGCACTTTGTTTTCAATAAGTATTTTCCTCTCTAGCTGCTGCAGACATTAACCTTTTCCTAGCCTATTTGTTCCTCAAACTAAGTGATCAACAGCAAGCTATGTGTATCTACAACTAAACAGACCAACAGTGCCAGAATACCAGGGCATTCTGTGCAGTATGACAAAGTTTTGTTAGCTGTTATGACTTGAGTAATTCTAAACCAAGTAATTCAACGGAAAACTGAGGTGCATTTCTAACTGAGATAAATTATTGCTGAACAGACTGCTAAAGAGAAAGGATACAGTCCTCATAACAAAAATGGATGACCATAGCCACGTATAGGTAGACTTGATACAGAGATAATCAGGTGTAAAGTCCTTATAACTGACAGATGAGACTACCCAATCTATTGGTCTCTTCTGCCTTTAAGCCCCTGAGACTCTCACTTTTCCAATTCCCAGCCAATGGTGACATTTCTGAAGTGTGTTTTATACTTTAATTGGCTTAGATCTATATTAATGCTGAAGTTTCATAAATGGAAATGCATTCTGACCATAAGCTTGCACCTCCTGGAAACAAAGTGTAGGATTAGACAGTTGCATTTTCTCAGTTCTCAGAAATTTCTCATTTCACATATTATTTTATCCTGAACTTCCAAACTGGCCATCATCTCTGTATGCATCAGATGTAGAAGAACATATATGATCTACAATATATATATACATACACACACACACTTACGAACTCCTATTGTTTCCTGTGACTAACCTGTAGACTGGAAGACTCCTGGGTTACAAAGGCAATAGCGTGAAGCAAAAGCTTCCATCATACGATCAATTTTTTGAGCCTCTCCTGGGAGTCTGAAGCTCCACAGAAACTGCCTACAGAAGGGAAGAATAGTTGTTAGACTCATTCCAATATTTATATACTAAGCATATATTACTAATAATCAGAATTAAAAAAAAAAAAAAAAAAAAAAATCAGCGACGTCTATATAAAATGTCCTAGAAATATGTTCTCAATCTCTCAACACACAAGTCAGGAGCTATTGTAAAGCAACATGCACAGATGGCTAGCCCAGTAATTCAGCCAGCAACACTGCATGCTATCAGGCAAGATAATATGTCAGTTCATATTCTGAGACTCTCTCTTTTTCCCAGACTAGTAAACAATTTTCTGTATGCATCCCATTTTTGCCATGAGAATGCTATGGGGAAACAATCAGTTCAATCCTCCCTGGGTTTCCTGGCTACAAAAAGCAATAAACACTCAGCTAGACTTTACTTACAATGTAAAAAGACACATTACATAAAATATTTCTGGTAGGGGAGAGAAGCAAGGAATAAAAAAACCACTTAACATCTTTACTTGAACTCCTCAAACATTTAAAAATAGTAATAACAACAAGAGAAACCCCAGTGCTTAGAGGGGTGCTGCCTGTCTAGTGTAAGTTCACCCTACAAGAATCAGACCCAGATCTTAAAAATAAAGACTCATGATATCACCTCAGTAATTTTGTAATATATGCAGGAGATCTGTGCTCCTGTTTAGCAGCAAGAACTGAAATAGAGTTTTTACATTCATAACTTACTATTTCTACATATAGGTACACTGGAATGCATACAGGACAGAAGTCTTGACAAATTTACTTTTGGCACACTGTGGCGCTAAAAAACTCCAATGAATTTAATCACTTATTCTTTTCTTTCTTAGCAAAATAATTATCTAAATTAAAACAGGATCTAAACCAGCAAAGTTACATGCTCTGCCATGCAAAACAAGTTCTCGATATTCCCTGTATGCCAGGTGCGAATATAGTAACCATTTATTCCTGTCTTCATCAGTTTTCATTTTAGGACATTATATTAAAGTGTCACAGGCCATCTGTAGTTTGTCAGCTCTATATACTGTCTTCTACTCACCTCATGCAAGGTTCCAACCCAGATCACGAATTTTGTAAGCTACCAAAATACAAACATTTAATAGTAGCAGCTGCTAAAGAAGAATAAAGTCAAACCTAACATTAAATTGAGTAAAAGAGACAGGAATATGAAGCCTCCCAGACAAGCTTCAGCAGCCAGAGAAAAGGCTTCCTTAGCTCAAGCCTCAGGCAGCTCAAGTTATCATCACCACATCACTCAACCATAGCAAAGCAGTTCTGACTCCACATCACAAGGCACTGCACCAGAGACAAAGATCACACGGACATTTCAATCTATCTGGTGTCAGGAGGGAGTCACTTGTGGCAATGAAACTGGCAGAACTGTCTAAATCAACTTAATTCACTAGATCTATTACGGATTTCCACCAAGAAGAGAAGGCACTTCACAAGGTCACTGTATGCTGGCATCCCAGAGAAATCAAGTAAACTGTTCACTCAGCAAGGAAAAAAAGTATACTAAGATATTACACTTTCTTTCACAAGACAAGTGGGAAACTCTGAGGAAAGTAGAAGGAAATTACTTGATTCAAAGTTTACCTCTGCAATTGAACATAATCACTGATTGTGGTCAGCGGGATTCCCTCCCTCCCTGCCCAGAGGAACAAGTTGAGGTGGAAGGAAAGGAGAAAGAAGATGGCAGCAAAGAAAATTACTTATTTGCTTGGGTTAGGGGCTTGTTTGGTTTTTACCTATCTCTGTGCTAATATACAAAACAGATCTTCAATTGTCCACATACGGCAGGCACACCAAAGAGTTACAGCTATGTTTTAGTTGTTTGCATTTGTCTGAAATAATTAAAAGTTTTCACCTTCAAAGGCAGCACACACACAAGCAATTGGAAGGGTTAAAACAGAGCTGTCTCTGCTAACTTGCACAGTAATGCATATAATCATGCTGAGCTGTAGATCAGCTTTCTGATGAATAAATCAACACAGTGACTTATATGAACGTGCAATTTGATAAAAGAAGGTCAGGTCAAAAAAAAAAATTTACTCACCTTAAGGCTTGTACAAGATTGAGATCAGCGAACTCATGGAGTTCAACAAAAGCCTGAAGAACTTTAATATTAAATTCATCTCTATGAAAGACAAAAATGCAAATAGACAATTACAATTCTGAACTTTAAAGTTAGTTAGAACTTGTTAGTTCTCTCTATCTCTATGATCATACTGATCAAATCAAGTCATCAGAAATAGTTTACACATTTATTTGATACTTAACACTAGTATTTTGTCCATGTTTACTGGCATTAAAAAGGTAGGTTAGCAAGAGCCAGTACACTTGAACTGATTTTACCACTGCTTATTTAAATGACCCGAAAATGGCCTGGCCTTCTTTGCTTCACATTTATTATTACTGCACCTGCCTTGATACGGGATGATACCTGATAAATTTATCCAGTAAAAAGTCTTTTGCAGAAATTGTATCATGAACTCTTAAAACAATGGTTAATGTAGGATTAATTTCTTTAGCCATACAACACAGGAAAAACAAACTATCCCATTTTTTCCTCTAATAACTGAAAATATTAAAGCAGTATATTAATTTATGTACAAAGATGAGGAACAGAAATGCTTCAACTGATTGTACCTAAGAAAAAGAACAGCTTTTTAAAAGAGCTACTTAGTACGTAGTTTATTCTTACTGTATTCTCAAAAATCATTACAATGGAAGTTTAGTAAAACCAGAATAGGTTTTGAATGGGCTTCCTCTCACCTATCTTTTATATTGTTATGTAAACCATGAGCCAAATTATGCTTTGTTTGATACAAAGGTGTTTAAATGCAAAAATAACATTTAAACATTAACACATACAAAATTATTTGGATGCAGACAGAATTTAGTCTACACCATCACTTAGTTCGTATGCCAGAAGCGTGAAGGTTTACAATTCTCAGGGTGTGCTTTAAATACATCACCAAGACAGAATGTTGCATATCAGCCTCCACCCGAAAATAGAAAGGTGTGCGCCCACCAAGAATTATCTGTTGCATTACTGACTAACTGCATAGTCAGACTAACCTGTAACGCTCATGAGTAAATACCTTAAAACGAATTATTCATTCATTAGGATGTCCCCATATTGTTTACAGAAAAACACATTAGCTCTGTCAAGCAAAACGAAGCAATTCTTATGAAATTTAGTAACATACAATTCAACTGCGTGACTACTTTTCAGTGCAGTGAACTAAAGTGGCGTAACAGTAATAAAAGAGAGCACTCTAATAGAGGTACTTTGTTACTCTAAGCCAAATTCTGATTTTGTTTATATGTACATAAAGCTGCAGTCATTCAGAACAAACATTAGGCTTATGCTCTAACTTTTGCACTTCTAGGTTTTAATGTAGACTGGATTAATAGTGATACTTGTGTTGGGTACAGCTCCAAAGACACAAGCCAAATATCATGAAAGGTCTAGGAAGCCACTTAAAAAAATAAGTGAAGACTTACCCATATATAAAGAAATCTTAAATCTTTTACAGGATGTAATTCATCCCTTATTTATTGTACATTTTTAGGTATTATCTCGTTCCATTTTACCATTCACTTTTTTCAGTTTGCTGAGTGCTGTTAACACTATAAAAGTCAATAATTTAAAATATATCTCTCTATGGCAGAATGTTATACAGTTACTTCATTCTGTTGACTATCCTGGTCTCGTCTGCAGCTAAAATGCAGAAGTAATTAATGATGGGCCCCCAAGAGGGAGTGGCAAAGTAAAAAAGAACGTCCTCAGATTCCAAATGCCTTGATAAAAGATACTACATAACTCAATAAAAACTCATCTATAATATGCACTGCCATCTGCATAGCACAAATCACTTAATAGCCTGTTTCTAAGGTAGTTACAAAAGCAAAACTAGCAGCTTAAGATCACCTCAACTGTCACATTTTATTTTATCCCACGGTATTTATTTTACCCCAGGACCTAAAGGCCCGATACACTGTTTTTGGAGGAACATGAATAAAAATTGTTAGGATTCTAGGAAATTAACGTTGCAGTTCAAAGGTGTATGATGAACCAATTCCCCATTCCAGACCTGACTACCTTGAAATTTGCATACACATTCCTGAAAATCAGATTGTCATCTCTTCACCTCCACTCCCCCTTACTAATTAATATAAGTGAAGAAAAAAAACAGACAGAAATACCATGTGCTTTCCCATTACCATATTAATATTACACCCTTCACAGAAATGAAGAAACATGCAAAAACCTATTAAAGTAGACTGACTGGATACACTGAATAAAAGCTCCTTTTAAAGCAAAAAATAATTTCAAATTTCTTTTTGACTTCAACTGCTTCTTAAAATTGATAGGTTGCTTCTGCCTTGTCACAAAATAGAAGCAGTATGTTAATTTTTTTCATTTCTCCTAAGATTTTATTATCCAGTTATACAAAATTTCCTGATCAAATTTGCTATTCAGTACAACCATTACATTTGTCTGTATTTATGTCCTGAAAAATTCAGAAGATATAATTGAATTGCATATTTATCTGTATACATACTCAATATTAAGAAAGGTTGCCCTGTATTTTCAAATTAGACCACAGTGCTGCCCAGCAGCATCCCTGCCAGGGATGCAAAAGAACGAGCAATCAATTTTTTAATGTTAAATGTGAACCCATAAATAGTCACACAAATATTATTGATGACTCCAGTGGGCCTGGACATATTGGTAAGACCTTTCTGCATGAGGAAAGGGGTTCTGGGAATAGGGCTAGAAAAACAGGAAGTATTTCTGAAGACAATACCAAGGCAGAATGCAGCTCTCAAAAACGAACACAGACTGTTTTATACAAGCTTTGTTACAGTTTTGCAATTATGGACATCAACATATAAGTGATTTTATAATACTGATTGCCCAAATATTCAAGAGAAACAACATAATGCTGTTGTATAAAAATTGTTGAAATGTCTACACAGAAACTTCACAGTGGAGATCTATTTTCAAAATATACATATTACAGTAAAAACTTTCATTAAACCTATTCAAGTCAGGAGGAAATTGCTGAGCACAACTAAGCCGCTGATGCTGTAAACAGATTACGGGTGCCTCAAAAGGGATCTGCCAGAACGTATCACTACAGCAGTATATCCTAAATGAGTCAACTTTTAAACCTCCATAACTGGCATCTGAACCGGAACATGTGCAAGCACGTAGATACACGTACTCCAACCCACTCTTCACTTCCGTCTCTTTCTGCTGCCTTTTTTGAAATCAATTCCTGGGTTGCACAGCAATGAAATTAATTTGCATTTTGATTGTGTTTTGCAATAGTATGCATAAATATGCATGTTTATTGTACTATGATTGATAAAGATACGGTGCGGCTGCCCTTTGAGACGCCTTCTTACTAATGGGAAGTCTGTGTGCAGGGAAGAAGACAACACTAAAACCTGCTTATAACTACTGTCCCAGGAACTACCCATTCTAGTAAGTAATTTCTTTACTATCTAACTATTAGCGATTGTAAATCACTCCTTGCCTGGGCACAGTATCTAGAGTTACCGGAACTGTTGCAATGCAACTCTCAGCCATTCCAAAAGCTCGTGGTATTAAATTCCGCACTATAGCCAAATTTAAGGGTATTTTCTCAAAACAGTAAGTTACAATAAATTAAATATTATTCCACAATGTACCCATTTAAAAAGAACAACAACCTAACAGAAAAAAACCTATCACAATACTGTAAATAGTTTTACTTCCCACTGTAGCTTTTATAGATCTCAAAGTAGTAGAGTAGCACTCTCACGCAGCCTGGGAAGGGGAAGGTAACTACCAAAACCATTAAGTATGCTTTGTGAACTCAAGAACAAAGTTTCAATATTTTTATTTTACCTTTCACCGAGGTAATCTCCAATTACGGTTTTATTTAATCCTTCTCCTTTATAAAGGAACTGTGCAATGTCTTCTGCAGTGTTCTGCAGGAGGTCATTTTCTATCAGAAACTGTATTCCCTAGGAAGAGCAATTCCAGAGGAAAAGGAATGTTACGTTTTCTTCCACAAGCATTTATGTAAATATTGCTTATAACAGTTGGTATTGATATACTGACACAGACATATACATAGTATATTAAGAATTACATTAGCCTACAGATTTTTTTTTTTTTTAATGAAATGGTAAACAAATGTTTTTCAGTTAGATAAGCAATATTTAGTACCGGTTTAAAGATGAAAATGAGAACACATTTTTAAGGCTAGAAGTACTAGGTGGCAGTTTGAATCTCTCAACAATAGAAATATCAAATATTAATTGAACAATGATTCCATGTTGGTCTTTGGAGTTAATGTGCAAGTTGGCCTGTTCATAATATTGCATAAATGTCTGCAGAGACATAATCTGTAAAATCATATAATGAAGAGGTACGTAGGAATAACTTAATTACCACCATGACACAAAATAAAGCATCTGTTATGATCTACAAACTGCAACCCAATACATCAAGCCACTACTTGCAGTAGAAGTCACGGCTGAAGATACTGAAACTGGTTTAAAAGACTTTATGCTGACACTGGGATTATCAGTGACTTCTGGTTGTGCTGGAACTAAACTATTCACAAAGGACTTGAACTAGACTATTCACAAAGGACTGTTCGCGAACCAGTCAAGCTTCTACCACGGAGCTTCTATCAAAGCCAGGAGGAGAGTCTCACCCTGTCCCTCAGTGGGTACTTGGTCAAGCCCCTGGACTCCTATGCCTCCATAAATTACTGGCCCTATAACTGGCACACTCTAGGGATGCCCAGAGAACTTTCTGCAAAGCGGTAAAGAAAGGAGACTAAGAGTTATATAAAGATTACGTAAAGGATGGAAGGGATGTTATTCCAACACTCAGCAGGTCATGACAAGATAGCGCTCTTTTTTCCCCCCACCACATACCCCAACAAAGTTGATTTCATAAAACCGTTAACAGCATGCTAGTGAAAAGTAGGAATGGCAGCTCTAAGTAACCTTGATGTCTTGGATTCCAAATATGTACAGAAGAGCTTAATAAACTATTCCAAATCTTTTCTACTAGAATATTTCATAATTTCAGAAATATTAAAAGCTTTTCAATTTCTGCAAATGGAATATATTTCTTTTTTATTTCCTTACAACTGAGAAAACTTCCATTATTTTTTGATATAGCATAGGAAGCCCTGCAGTAGCATTCAAAAAAGTAATTATCCTTCTGCTTGGTTGATTCTGTTTTTTTATAATGAAATGATTACCTGCCTGACAAAAAAAAGTCTATTTTCTGACCTAATTTAACAAAGAAAATGAACTGTGATGTTATAAGGCTTGAAGCTTTTTAAAAAAAGTCTGGAATGCAATTCTCTCCAAACAATTTTATCAACATCTGAAAACTTTATTTCAATGACAGGCTGGTATTCTGACTCTGACAACTTAATATTTTGATAAGTCATTTCAGAACACAATGATTTCGTTGCAAAGACTGTATCTGTTTTATCTTGAAGCAGACACAGCTGAGCTTTCCTCAAAAATTATCCCTTCAAAGCTTATTTGATAACTATTTGCACAAAAAAGTCATTTGACTATGAAACATAATGTTTTTTCCCCATACCGAGTTATTCAAAAAGCTTTCTCAGCTCTGTCAACCAACAGAGAACCTTCTTTCTAACAAACATCAGAAATAGCAGTTGCAGATTCCCTTCTTCAACACCTGGACCATATTATTCACGCTTAGTGTTAACAGACTGACCAGAATAGTTTTTAAAAAGTTGTACAAGTTACTGAAAAAGATAATGGACATGACTAGAAGCATGGAAAACAAATTTCTGTGCACAGAAGCAGATACTTTAACATACTACAAAAATGAATTTAATTTTCCTTTTTCTGTATTTTTTTCCTGTTTTTTTTTTTTGTTCTTAAGATGTTAAAGAACCAGAAGTCAAATAGACAGGAAAAGGAATTTGTCTGGGACAACAACTCCAGCATCTGGAATAAATGGTAAAATAGGTCAGCCAAATCCCCATCAACTCCTACGCTATCTTTTGTCTTGATGCAAATTTTCCTTCTGTAGACTGATAGGAGACAGCTGTACCAGTTTGACCTCCACACACAAAATTCATGGCTACAGAAATAGTCAATATTCACTACAAATACTGCATAGATTTTTTTTGTCAGTGCAATGAAATCTGCTTTGAATTTCATAGCTTTTACAATAACTTAATTACAAATTTTGCAGTTATTTAAACCCTGCCTTTGCCATAAAGAATTCATTTTCTGAGCCCAGCACAGGCAGTACCGACTTCCAGTGCTGCGAATTTCAAGCACAGCTTTATGTCCTCTGCACAGGGATTCTTGAAGTGTTTTACAAACTTTACCATTATAGCCCTTCCCACACTAGCTAACCAAATCCAAACAGCAAGGGACGTGATATTATGTCAGGAAACTGCGTTAAAAACAGCTATTTTGAATGAGGATTTTCTGGCTGGGGGCAGGGCGAATTGCTCTACGTATAGGTTACACACCAGAAAATGTAAAGGTCTTCAAAGAAAAATGGTAAAAGAAAATTACCTCACTGTGTCCCTGCTAATATGAAAACATTAGAACTCTGTTGTTTGGTTTTAAAGAAGAAAACTTGGGGGATTCAACGCATGTATTATTACCCCAGTTCTTTCACATTCCTAACTCTGGAGACCATCTTCCCTCCCATTTACGAATGAAAAACATCCTTTTCGCAATGACTCCGAGTTAATTCTCTCAACATTAGAAGGACATATATTTTAGCTGCCTGTAATTTAAAGTAGCAGCTGCAAACAACAAGATGATCTAGTTTTAAAGCAGCCAGCTACTGCAGGCCACCACTGATTCATAGACATTATTAAGAAATTACTATTGTAAGTCTGTTTACCACATTTAAATTATGTTGCAGTAGCAATGCGACCACAGCATCTATTTATAGAAATAATTTCACCCAACAAGAACAGTAACAAAAAATAGTTAACATTGGAATGAAAGCATCTGACATCATCCTGTGACTTTGCCACAAACTTCTAGGATGTGAAAGAGCTGGAGGACAAGAGCAAACTATCAGGATATTTGGGGGTATTCTGCCCTTAACAGAACTGAAGTTAGACAGTCACCAAAATGGAAAATAAAAGACATGGTCAGCAGCTTAAAAATGGTTCTATATCTCAAAGTACTTGAGTGTTTCTGGTAAACTGAAAACAGCCTGAAGAATAGCAGCCATCGCTGTACTTGGAACATTACAGAAAAGCCACCAAAATGTAACTGAATTCAATACAGCTGGAAAGAAAACATGTCAAGGACTAACACAGCAAAACAATGCTAAATAATTTCCAAAAAGACCTTAAAGAAGACTCATCACAAATTCAAAATGGAATCTCAATTACAAACAACAGAAGGCAGTAAAACAAAGCAAGGAAGACGTAAAATGAAAAGTAAAGGCTAAAGGTCAAATATGTCAATGCAGCTCTTTTAAATATATCAGGGGAGGTCTGGAAGAGCATGCGCAGGTCGCTGAATTTTCCAGAAAATTAACAATTATTTAAGAAAAGTAGAGGCACTGCAGAGAAATGAACTACTTTACTTCTTGGCTAAATGCACAATAGACTTCTTGAAATTGGTAACCAAGTTTCTACCTGCAGGTGTTTGTACAAGTCATATAGGTACACATATATATGTACATACGTATACAAACATACCAATATTCATAAATGCCTTTTTCACAAACAGAATTTAGATATGCAAATATAAAAGTCTATATGACAACAAATTAAAAAAATGTTAAAGGTGTTTTGGAAGAAGCAAAAATAGTATAAATAGCATAATTATATAAATAGCATAAATATATAATAGCATAAAAAAAAAGTATGGCCTCACTAACAACCAAACATCAAAATATTTTTAGAATTCTATTTGACATATCAACATAGAACATCTCTATCAGGTACAAATAATCTTTCTGCAAGCCAGCTCAATCAATACCTGACATATTTGATTGTTGATAAATAACCTCCATTATCAAAAATGGTTTGCTTAAGTGAAAAAACCACACATAACTGACAAATGGCTAGATGACTGCTTCTAATTTAACCCTCTGCTCAGTGTGTTACAGGATATACAAATAAGGCCTGTGAACTTACGTTATCAGAAATGTTTTCTTACGAAAACATGACTGTATTTGTCATAAATCATATTACAAGCAGGAACTTGATTCCTGACACATGGAAAAAAAAAATTCTCTACCTTCTTGGGGTCCATGTTGAATTTCTTCCTTCCCATGGCTATTTGCTTATTTCTTTGTGTAGTTTTGCTATACATGGAAAAAAAGAAGAAACAACAAGCAGTTATCAAAACAACAACTTCTGGACAGGCTTCGTTTAATTTGTTTTTTGGCTACTTTGTATTTTCTATTACAAAAACAAGACATTCACTTTTTATAAGGGGGCAAATTATGTTGCTATTTTCAATTCTTTCAAGTGATTGCAGCTTCAGAGAACTATGTAATTATCAATTGGATAGTCTAAAATACACATTCTACCCAACATATTCTCTATCCAAACGAATGACACACCTGAACAGGATAAGGTCAGGCTTTGAAGATTTTATAACAGACTGAATAAAGGCGACCCAGTGTTTGTTTAGCATGATAAAGCTTTTTTTTTTTTGCTATTCCTGGAAGGTCTGTTCCAAGGTCTTACTGAATCATGTCCATACATTAGCATTACTTACCTTTCTTCCACACTAGTCAGATTATCAATTTCTGTCATAACCTCAGCAATTTCAAATTTTAATCTCTGCCAAAAGAAGGAAGGACAATATGTTAACCTACATTAAAACACTTTCTGAAATAATCTATCATATATTAATATGATCAATTAGGTTTTATTTTCTAATATTTGCTAGTCACCTGAAGAAAAGTGAAGAATATTATGGCTTCCTTAGATTTTTAGCTTAAAGATTTTACCACAACTGAATGTCTGTTAAACACATGGATCTGAACTCCCACTGTGTGCTCGTGTCAGAGCATCAAGACCAAGTTGCCATTACCAACTTCAGTGTAAGATTTACCCAGACCTCTCACTCACTCCTATCCTGTACGCAAATCTGCAGTTTAATGAGTTCTTGATTATGCAAATTAAATGTGTACATATGCACATATTGCATTACATAAATACAGAAGTTAGCATTTTTAAAAGCACACAAATGACGCATAAATCCTATTCATTATTAGTAAGATTTAGCTTAAGCCATTTATATACTTTGAAAAACATTACCTGGAATTCATACCTAGGTATGCAGTTAACTTAATCTACTGAAGCAGTCTTCTAAGGATCTTTACAGATAAATTAATTACCTCAATATCATCAATCAGTTCTTTTTTCCTGCGACGAATATTTAAAAGCTCTTCTCTTTCTTCCATGGAGAGGTCATCAGGTACTGGAATAGACCAAAATGTACAGTTTTTTAGCATTTGCAAACATATCTCATCGCAGAAAACTGAATAAACCTGATTAAGAAAAGTAAGTTTACATGAAACATCAGGGCATTCTTTTTTTTAGCTGGGATCACTTTCAGAGGAAAAAAAACAAACCCCAGACCTAATTTATTGGAATTCTACTTTATAAAATCGTAAGCAAGGTAATCGAATGAATGACTATGGACAGAAACTATCTTTCAGAAGAAAGCTAGACAATCAAAGGGAACTTGTTATCATATAATATGTGGTCAGATTTGGCTCTATAGCTTAATTGCCAATAGTCTGATATAATTCCAATTATTTCAGTAACAGACCAAAATTCTTCATGTAAATGAATTCAAAAGACATTACTATCTTTCAGGCAAAAAAGCCAAAGAAAAAGCCAAAGCTATATACAACTCATTACCAAGATGTGTATCCTGGTGCTGATTTCAGACAACATGAGAATTTTAGCAGTACCCCTTCACCTAGTTGCTTTGTAGAGCAGAGATGCAGGTAAATACAATACTACTAACATCCTTAACAGCAAATACTTTCCATCAGTAGGATATACAACAAATACACAGTCAGAATTAGTTCTTTAACACAGCGTATCACAAACTTATGTTTTTGTATAACATCATTTAAGGGAGTCTGAAGTATTTAAGTCAATTTTAAGTCTCTCCTTGGCTATGCTAAAACAGATATGTTACCCTGTTGATAAAAATTACTTGCTACTGAAGATGCAAACACGTTTCAGTACACAGCTATGGCTGTCACTCACTCTAGCAGCAGCCCCTTACCCTGTAGTCTCTGCCTGACAACCAGGAAACGTGAAAAGTTATTCATACAAAACCTCTGCTTTTCTTGAGCAATTAGATTTTCCCTAGCAAGAAACTTATTTGGACAGAGATTATTCTCACTCATTTGTATGGCACTAGACATCAACCACAAATATCCACCTCCTTTGCAATGATCCTATAATAACAGTTTTAATGCTACCTACTTTCTTGGAAATAGCTCCTTAATTATAGAACAGCTTTTCCTTCTAGCTCAGTAAAATAGAACAACAAAAATAATTATTAAGATATTTAAATGGTTCTCTCCCAACAGCAATACACAGCAAATGTAGCCATTTGGGATGGCCAAAGCTGTTTCTTTATGTCATATACACGTGTAACAGATGGTAGCAATAGGATCACAAGCAAAGTTTCACTTGACAGGAGATTTTTAAAGACACATTTGAAACACAGCCTCTGTTCAAATCTAATAATGAAATATAGTGATTATTTTCAACATCCAGTAGTTAAGCTCCTTTCTTTTTAGGATTCGAATCATAACATAAAATCCAAACGGCAACAGACCTTGTTAAACATGAATTATGGCAAATGATCTCATTTAACTACTCCAGACACAAACATGATTAAATTACTTCCAGCTTAGGAAATGACAGTCTTCTGTTGAACGAATACCAGACTTCAATATGTTTACCTGCTTTTTCCCTTCATCTTATCAGAAACCCACCCACTCCTAAAAATGCCTTGCATGCAAATACCGATAAGATTCTTTTCACATCAAACCTTAGATACATCTGCCTACATCACATCTTTGTCTCACATGTATACTCTAAGATCTTAAACCATCAAAACTCAAGAGATTTTATGACTATACGAACACTATGTATATCACATACCACAAATATTCCAATTAGTTAACTGAAGACTGACAACAAAAAAAAAAGAAGACTGTTACCCAATGTTGATTATTAAAAAGGCAAACGGTGTATAATCAATCACTCCCTTAGCTAGGAAGTATGCTCAAGTATCCTTAAAGCATTTTTGTAGTATTACATCAGTAGATGAAATTAGATTAAAATTTTGCAATACCAGTATTTGCAAGAGTTCTTCATTTTTTAACTTTTTGCCACAGCAGATGTTTTGGTAACTCTCACCTTCGTTGGCAAATGGAAATACTAATCAGAACCCAAACAGAAAATAATCTTTAAGCATTAAATATTTAGAATTCATAGATGGTGCTTGATTTTTCTTCAAGCTGAGTTACAAAATCTCTGGATTAGCTGCTATCACAAACTCTTCCCAAAGCAGAACGTCAGTGAGTGGTACCGCAGTTTCTTCTCCCTTGCATTACCGCACAGTGAAAGCTCCTTGGGACAGGTTTGGAATACTTAGAACAAGTGAAATTGCTATTTGGAATCAACACGAATTGTGACAGTTTTCTATGCTCAAGCAACCCACCAAAGAAAAGAAATCACACACCTCAATCTTATTCCTACAGCACCCGAAGACTGACTGCTGTGTTTTTTCCTTTCCTCTGATCACAGCTGCAGCAGAGACACAATGCTCGCAGTATAATTAATGATGCTGTTAGACAAAAAGGAAACAAACTAAATGGAGTCAGACTGCCTTTTGCATTAGGAAATAACATCAAGTATCTATCTGCCAGATGCAAGACAAGAAAAGTCTGCTGGAAAAGAAGATTCTGCACTTGGAGAGCACTTAGAAGACAGCACTTAGAGAAAACTGCACGTTAATGCAACATCTTTAAATAATGGTACTAATATCAGAGCCAAAAGATTCCGGTATCTTTTGATAAGAATAAAAGAACCAGGATACAACTGAGCAGGGGCTACAGTAGCGCTCAAAACTATTGGTATAGTCAATATTTTACTTCCGCTCACACTACCAGCACAGAGAAGGGATGATTGACTTGTCAGGATGACTCCTAAGTGCACTGTCCTACCATCACCATAAATTGGCACGTGTGCAAGATATTGAAGATGTTTGCCTTATTCTCATCCTTCTATTGGTTGTATATCATCACTGCCTCCCTTCTCCAGTGCTGCTATTCATGCTGATGAGAAGACTTATCAATGGGAAAAGGAACTCAACAAAAAAAAGGTTCTTAAGAGACAATATGTGGCATTACAGCCTGCAGCTTCAGAGGCTGAAGGTGTCTGCTCCAGGAGGCTACGTGACTTTATGTCTATTGTCCCTGTTGTTTCAATTCTCTGTTTTAAACGAAAATTTAACAATATTTCTGTATTTCAATGAAGGCTTTTGAAATATTAACATTACAGGATGCGCCTACCCTACCTGAAAGGAAAGAAAGAGTGGAAGATATTCAACTGCAGCTAAAAACAAACAAACAAACAAACCACTAACACAGAAGGGCACTCACCATTAGTTAAACCTTTTCCTTACGAGTAAGGAAAAGGATCTACTCTGCATTTTTCATGTCAATTATTCTTTGCTTTTCATTGATCCCTAATGATGCAAAAACACGTAAAAAACATTAAAAACCCTACATCCTACTTCTAAATAGATAAAATGTTTCCTCAGTGATAGACTCAAATGGCAATCAGTCCTCCTAACTTGAGCGTGAGGGGCCTTACACAACCTGCAATGCAGGGACCACAGTGAGAGTCTGAAAATAATTTTCTTTGGAAAGCAAACCTGTAGAGCTGTGGTGCCCACGTGTTCTTAGAAAATGGAATAAGCACTTTGAATATTTCCAGTTTGAAAAGAAAAATATTCATTTTATTTATGAAAAAAATTTGAAAACCACAGTTGAGATATTTGGTGTCAAGGCTGATGTTAGACTCACGGCAAGCAAACAGGAGATCAAAAATGGCTGACAAATAACAACAGTGCATTAAAACATCTTTACAGTCCTAAGCAAATATTGCATATACACAACAAGTGATGATCTGCCCTGGCAAGGCCCCTTCCATAAGCCACTTTTTTTACTTCAGCAGCTAGAACACTTCTGTTTTTTCTAACCTTGTATCCACATAATCCTCCACACAGAAGAGCTCACAGAGCGCATATTACGTAGCTGTTCTGTAAGACAAATTTTCTAGCTGTCCTCTCTGAGTCATTTCCAAGTTTTTTGTCTTTCACCAATCTAAACACAAAGTAGACAGGATGGGAGGAGTTAGCATGAACATTTAAATACTAAAAAAGAACAAAAGGATTTCAATATAGTGAACAAACTGCAGCTGCAGCATGCTTTCATGCTATCTTCTAATCTTTAAATAAAGACAATGTTCTAATGTAAGTCGTTTGTGTGAAAACCTTTTAGCTTACTGGGATAGCACTTCCTTTTTCTAAAACTTCAGAGTTTCAGCTACTACTAAATAGAAAGTCAATAAATATACCTCCTGCTATTTTATTTAAGAGGAACAAAGTTGTTGCAAGTACAAATTACATTCTTGGCCAAGTAGTAAGACACAAAAACACACCACCATATATGTTGCTACTACTACTATTCCTACTACCAACAGAAAAAAAAAGAAAAAAAAAATATTTAATATATTCCAACTTGACCTACCTCTGTTCAATTACTGTAACTGATTTAAATGTACTTAAATGAATTTCCTGTAAACAAACACTTATGGGAATACACACTTTTAATACAGGTTTGCTTACTCTAAATGTGTTAAGAAAAAAAAAAAAAAACAAAACCAAAAACCAAACCGTAGCTTGCCACAGAAATCAGTGTATTGTCCTGCCGTTGTGATGTCACTTTGTTAAATAATTTTCCACTACTAACAACCCAAGTACACAATCCGAACAAGAGCACTAGCCCGGAACTCTGACATTTATGAAGACATAAGAAGCATTTTTGAGCAAGCAGGCACCAAAAAAAGAAAAGTCTTTTCCAGACTGAGGAAGAACTGCAACAGATCAACTTGCAAAGAAAGTCCCACAGGTTAGTGAAAATCAGGAGCAAATCCCACAACAGGAGACAGAAATCTAGTACTTTCCAAGTCCATACCCCTGATACGTTCAACTTTTTCAGTAGCAGAAATAAAATCCTTTCCTGCTCTTCAATGGTATTATGTGAACCTAAACTCCCGTGTTTAATTTTTCTTTACTTACTAGCCTTTCAATCAGCAGTCACCAGCCAAGGTGTAAAGCAATCTTACTCCACCACTTCAATTGACTTCAGAGTTCGGTCTCTCAAGAAGACACAGTAAAATAATCCACAGCCAG